ACACACTTTATCAGCGCAGAGCGAGCGTACGCGCGAAAATTAGCACGTTTTCGTCTCTGCGACGCTCGATTTTCGGTGTATATAATTTTTTGGCCACGTGACTCGTCGATAATGAATTTAAAGAGAAAATTTTGCCGCGCCACCAATGCAGCGCAAAAAGATAAGCTGAACTTGGCGTCGCTTTTTTTTCATTGTTGCTGGGCGATAAACCAATCAGAGCGAAAGGACAGACGCACTTTGCTTCAAGTCTCGTTACGCGCCCTTCTTTATCTCCAGCACAAGAGAGATGCTGATTAGAGTTCCGTGTGTATCAGTGTGACCGGAGACCATTAATTAAATCGTAATTTTTATCATTAGTAATAAAAAAAAATTAATTTTGGTTGCAGGGTTAACAAAAATCATTTAATTTGTTACTGATTTATAAGATTTTTGAGACTTAATTCTATTAATTTAATAATTCACAAAACAAAAATAATTTTAATTTAAAATTGAATATATTTTTATTAATGAAATTCATAAACAGAAGGGCTGATTCACGATATGGGTTGAAATTGAATAACGGATTTTCCTGAATCAAAGTTTTTAGTGGTAAAACCATTTCCTAATCGACGGTGGGCGTATTTTTAGAATTAGGAAAATGGTCTGGTATTTCCCCCAATAATTCGCTCCGAAGTTTGTCCTTAGCGAATTATTCAGGATTTGAGAAACTAAAGATTACCTTTTGGAACTTTTTTAAGAAAAAAAGACGAGATTTTTCAAGGAATTCACATTTTAAAAGTATAAATAATTGAAAATCTTGAATTGTAATTTTTGGAAAAGAGAGATTTTTCTTTAGTGTAATAATTCTTTTTTATTTACAACCTTGAAATAAATTTTACTTTCTTGAATTCACTTAAATTTAAAATAAACTTTTGAATGCATTCCTGCACTTTATGAATGAATTTACGTAATGAAATTTCTTCGGTGATTAAGCAGAAATGAATTTGAAAAGAAGAGTTTTCAAGAGCCGCGGCAAAGCATAGACACACGTTCTGTCCAAGATAACATATTGAGGAGCGCTGGCTCTGTACCTTTTAAAAAGCTTTCGATATCTTATCATGCGACTTTTAACAGATCTTCGGGTCTTACGAAACAGCATCACCGAGCGCAGGGCTCTGGTAATTCCTCAGCGAAAATTGAGATTTTATTTCTTTTGTGTTGAATCAAGAGATGCGTTGCAGGGCGACTTGCTGATTCTTTGTAAATACGCACGTGATAACCTCATTGATAATCGAAACGATCAAACAACTTTGTATATTAAAGCTTACGCATGCACTATTTCCATGATTTTTCCGTCGACGCGGATTAAAATGAATAAGCAAATCAGCAAGAAGAGATCACGAGACGCACTTGCCAGATCAAACCATATATAAGCGATTTCTTTTGCATTAATGCGCAAAGGGAAAGTGCAAACTTGAGAATAAATTTGTTGTCATCTAATGTGAATATAAATATTTTTCTCTTCATTCTAATGCGAGTAAATTTTTCATAAATCAAAAGAGAAAAATCAAATATAATAATTAAAAAGTCCAGGAAAAATCATATATTGTTCTTTGTTAAAAATGAAAATAATAATAATTGTAGCTCCAACTGGATTCTTTTTCTCAAATTCTTTCACAAATTTTTATACTTCTAGATCTTTTTTAATATGACGAGCAGGTGCCATGGCAACAAGGAGTTTGAACTGCTGTGGACAAAAACAAAAGAATGCACTGGCCAAATGCTGCGGGGGGCGGAGGGGAGGCGCGAGGTCACGGGAGCTCCTCCGTCCGTTGCGGTGACCCTTGGTGCGCTCCGAAGCCGCCTCGGTGACGGCCATCATGGCCTCTTCTCTCTCTTTCTTATATTTATTGATAAGATAACGAGTCGTCTTCGTTTATAGATATTGTACTTTCCGTCACTGCGCGCGGGGAGCAGATTCTGGCTTTGTGCTGCTGCTGTTGTGTGCGCTCGGCAAATATGAGAAAACGTTTGCTTCTGTTGCTCACTCACTCAGTGAAATTTATTGTACTCGGTTGCATACCCTCGGTGCAATGAGTCACTTTTCGTCCGTTGTGCAAACTTTCCGCGACTTTGCGAACAGCAAACTCTGAAATTAGCTTCACCCCTGCCTCGGAACTTTCTTATAATATGCAAAAGCCTATAGGAGAAATTTTTGAATATTATTTTTATTAAAAATGGGTAAATCCGTATTGGTTCTTTTCAAATCTGAGCTCAATTGTTTCTAATGAAATATAAATTGTTTATTAAAAAAAGGAGTTAAATGGAAAGAATGTCAGATCTCTTTTCATTCTTGACTTCTATATGGGAAATCTGAGCTTTTGATCTAGAAATTGATGTCTGACATAAGAAACATTGAATGACTTTTAAACTTTGCTTTGGTATAAAGATATTGAGTTGCTGTAATTTTCAGCATTCAATTCAAAAATATAAAAATTCCATAGAAATTAAATCACAATTTTTTTAATACGGATTCTCGGACCTCTGGATCATTTGTCATTTTAATTATTCAGCGAGCAAATAATTGAGTCATTTTTTTAATATTGACTTTGAAATTTTGGAAGCAACCTTGATACGCACTTTCTCTGGAAGTTATTTAAATTTTTTAAATTCGAAAAAAATAAAATCTGCATCGAGTTTTTGCTGGATCGTTAGACTGTTCTAGAAGCTTCTTCTATCTCGCGGTTGGCATAGATTTGTTTTTATCAGATTTCAATGAAAAAAAAAAATCATTTTATGTATTCCAAACACGCCGCCTTCATTTTCGCAACAATCGCAACAATGAGAGTGCGTTCCACTCGATCGAGCGACTTGCACTTGCTGCGCGATCTGTCGTCGAGGACTCGTCGCGCGAATGTCCAACGTGCGAAACGCGAATCTAGGTTTAGCGTCAGCCCGTCGCAGCTTTTACGTAAATAGAAACTTGTCTATGCAGTTATTGCGTTATGCGTGCAGCATGATCAGTGCGCGTTGCAGAAGTAATTAGATAACTCCTTGCAGACTATGCAGCTCAGTGAAATGATGTCAGGCTGGCTCCCCTGCGCGCACCTGAACTTGGCGCTTATTAACCAATGGTGTGTGCAGGTCATTTGCAAACTGGCATTGCCATTTTCGGGCAAAGAACCCTTTCCATTACCAACGAGCTTTGATTGAAAAAAGAAATTAAAACGTAGTAAGAATCGGGAGGAGAGAGCAATGTTTTTTTAATTTAATTTTTTAAATAAACTTCAATAAAGTTTTCAAATTTTCTTCTCATGATTGAATTTTGAATTTTGCCAACATTTTATTACAAATTATTTTCTTGAAATTTGCTTTCCTTGTAATTTTATAGGATCATTAAAGGAAAGTTCCAGTTTGGGACTAAAATTGGTAAAAAAAATTTAAACCTGTTTTTCATGTGAGCGTTCCGTCTTCTTTCAAATGACTTTCATCCCAAATATTGCAGATTTAACCGTTGATATCTTCACTTTTTAATATAAAATATGTTTGATGAATAAAGTTTATAGAACTCAAGTTTTAAGTTTATAGGGAAATTTTTGGTCAATCCATGACTCTTGACATGGCGAGGACGCAAAGACATTCCGCTGATGCAAATTAGACTCTCCATCGCACCTGATGTCGAAAAACAAACGCGAATGCGGGTTATTGAGATGTTTACAAAAAACTGGAGCACTAAAGCTTCTGTTTGCCCACAAACGAGCCTCTTTCTTTCTTTGCATTCATTCCGCCCACCTGTGCATCACTAGAATTCTCCTCTCTACACACGCAAATAAATATAAATCTCCTCTTCCTACACTGGAAGGATTCCAAAAATTCCAAGCTCGAAATTTGGCGAATTCCTGGAATAATTTTCTATAACTTTCGAGTTTTAGCAGAAACAGGACGAGTATAGGGAGTTGTTGAGCGAGGCAAAATATTGCGCAGTAAAAGCTGCTGCACTCTATGTATAGTGGCAGCTCTTTGTGCGGCACACACGCGCCTTTGTGCGGAGCGAGTGCATTTAAATGCACACTAGGATGCAAAAAGAAGAAGCAGAAGCGGCGAAAGGAGGAGGAAGATGAATGCGAGTCGACTGATTGGGCAAAGAAACGGCAATAATTTGTAAAAAAAAAGAGTTGAAAATTGTTAAATTTAGTATTAATTAATTTGTTGCTAACTTTTAAAGAAAAATTCTATAGGAACTTCATGAATTGTAAAAAGTTATTTATTGCAATAAAATTGTGTATTCTTCACTTTTTTTCTACAATTTTAAGAGGTTTTAAATAAAAAAGATTTCAAACTATTTATTTAAGATAAAATTAAATTAAATTAAGATAAAATTGAAAAATTACAAAATAAAGTAAAAAATTTGATGAAAATTGTTGCCTCTTTATAGCCAGTTGCAATCTGAATGAAGTAGGGAACAATTTATTGAATAAAATATTGACTCTAAAAACAAAAAATAGTTGATTAAATCATGATTTTGTAATAATTAATTAATAAAATTAGCAAATTTTAAAGTGCCAATTTATTTTAACTTTTCACAACGTTTTCAAGAAACGAAGGAAATTTGTCTGAAATGCATGGGCAAAACGGAAAGTGTGGAAATGCGTCGGTGTGCCTCACTCGCAGCCGGTTTCGCAACGCCAAAAGCATTTCGCCAATTGCGCTTACCGTGAAAATTATTACTCATTGAGGCAACCGCCGCGCGCGCAAACTGGATATAGCGCGGCGAGAACAGGTTTTGGGGTAGGTTCAATATCCTCTTTGAATTTCGGCCTCGAAACAACGTCTCAATTTAAGATTTTTAGAAAAAATATGCAAGGCAGACGGAAATTCACGCGGAGGGTGGCGCGTTAAAGTCGCCCCCGTGGCGCCAACAGGTTGGGTGCGCACGGAGAACCACCCCTCGCGACTCTAAGCCACCCCTTTCTATAAAAGCAAAAGAAAAAAAAATGATATTTAAAAGGAAAAAAACGAACCTTCCATCCGGCGGAGGAGTTGCTGTCGCCCTTGTCCTTGAAGTAGGGCACGTTCTGGACCATCCACTCGTAGATCTGCGAGAGGGTGAGTCTGTTCTCGGGGGCGGACTGGATGGCCTGGGTGATGAGGTCGGCGTAGCTCATGTTGCCCCACGCGTTGCGCCGGCTCGAGTTCTTCTTGGCCGAGGCGGCGAGCACCTGCTGCGGCCCGCCGTGCACCAGGTCGGGCGGCGGCGCGAACATCTTGGGCTGTGCGAAGGGCTGCGTGGGGGCGGCGGGGGCGGCCTCGGAGGCCGACTCGGGCGGCTCGGGTCGCGGCAGGGGCCACGTGTTGGAGCGGGCCCTGAGTTGGGGCTCGAAGCCCGGCTCAAGCTCCAGCGGCTCCATGACTCGGCGGGGGCGGCTCTTGTGCTGCTGGCGGAGGCGGCTACACCACGGGCATGTGCGTGCTCGGCGCGCGGAGAGAGGAGAGACGTACCGAGGTGCTCGCGGGCCTGCTGCCTGAAAACTACTACGGCTGGCTCCGCAGCGGCCGCTCGCTCGCTCGCTGCTGGCTGGCGCCCCTCTTCACTCCGCTCCACACCATTATTATTATTATTTACTACGACGGCGGCGGCGGCGGCCCAACTTACTGCGACTCGCGGTGACCGCTGCATAATGAGTGACGCCCCAGGTCAGGGTTTGCACAGATTTTCGTCGATCCGTCCGCCGATTTTGCATTGCTAATCGCCCGAATAATTTTTCATTCAAATATGTCAAACGTCCGACCGGGCACACATGCAATTGTTTTGAACATGCATCATTGTTTGCCTCTTTTTATAATTTAAGATTTTCCAAATAAAAAAGTTATTATACATATTATTATTAAATCGCTAAATCAAGGCTTTTGCAAAATATATAATGCAGCGATAACAGTTTTTTACAATATGTCACTTTTGTTGACGATTTTTTTTTCAAATTTTGTCACAGAAATAAAGCTTGGTAAAATTTTGAAAATTCTTCCGCAAATTGCTAATGTTTTAACAAAATTAAACAGTGAAGCTAGATTTGAACAAATTTTCAAATTATTATTGCTGCAAATAATCATTAAAATTAATAATTTTTTAATTTCGTCTTTTTACAAACTAAGTACTAAGTTTATTAAAATTTTATTTTGCCAAGAGAAATCTTCAAGACTTTCAACGTTCCCCCTGCAAATCACAGGAATTAGAAATTGCAGCTTTTAGGTTGAAATAATAATATAGCAAAAAACAGATTTTAATATTTAATTGTACTCTCTTTGCTTTGCAGCAGCCAAATTAATTTAATTACAAAATTTAAACAAGGTCTTCGATCTTCAAAATTTTTGAGTGCCCATAAAATGATTTGGAATTTTCTAACTTTGTCCATGCGAGTATTTGAGAACAATAAAATTTCGTTTCGGTTTGGCCACTTGGACGAGGTTATGCAACAAGCACCGCTTTGCAGCCTAGCGGGTTGCACATCTTTCCTTTTTTTACGTGATCGTGCTGAAGAAAAAAATATACTAATATATTCTTATTAGATAGGATATAAATTGGATCTAATGAAGAGCAAATTGGCCGCGTAATATTTATCTTATTTACTCCCTTCTTTATTCTTTCTTCCGTTCTCAAACAATACGCGCGCTCACCCCACTTTATCAAATTATAAAATTATGAAAATGAAAGTCAGCACGCGCGGAGTTCTCCATCTCTCTCTCCAGCATAAGACAATGGCTTGCAGCCAAGAAAACGCTCGCTCGCTTGCTCGAGACACGCGGAAAAATTATTGCGCTCCAGCATTATGCAGAAAGTGGTGGATGAGGCAGCTCATCTTTCCACAATTATAATATCTGGCATCCGCTCAGATAAAAAAAAAGTATGAATATCTCGCAGATGTTTGTCAAGTCCATCGTTCGGTAATTAATTTAATAATTGCCGGCCGAGTGAAACAGTTCAGTGACTGAGAATCTGTTGCGGTTTCCATTTTGGCACCATTCAAACTTAATCAGTGAAGAATTTAAAGCATTTACTTGAGCATAAAAATTACAAGTTTTCTTTTCTACAAATTTCCGATGCAGTAAAAGGTATGGTATAATTTGTATTATTAATCCAAAATTATTTATTCCCGTTATTACAATAAGGAGCAATATAAATTAGACTTGACATCGTCTTATTCGAGTCTTCACTTTACTCTGTAGAGCATCTTGCGTTGAAGACGGTACTGCAGCTCCCCTCGTCTAATCATGGTGTGGATCACCTTGTAAATGGACCTCTCAGGGTACTTTTGCCTCGAGAAATCGGAAATTACGTTGGCCTCAGAAACCTGACAGCCGATAGGGAAGCGCTTTTTGAGCTGCTGTTCAATCATCACAATAGTCTCGTGATCCTCCTGAGTGGTGAAACCTTCCGCACCTTGATTTTACAAATTCAATTTGAAAACAGATTCAAAATAGAAAATAATAATTTATTACCAGCCAAACTTCCTGACATGGCAGCGTTTAATGTCGAGACCTGGAAGAGTCTCAGTGCCTCGACGACATGAGTTTCGGTAGCAAAAGGCAGAAGTTGCATCTTGGCCAAAGATTCGGAAATACGAATGATGGCTTCAAGTTGTCTAAATTATCATTATTAGAAAGATATCTCTTAATAAATTAAATAATACCAGTACCTGACAGTGATAGGGATGCTCATTCTCTTTTCCGTTTCCCTTTCATGTTCTTTGGTACCATTCCTCATCACAACATATCGGTTTTTCAACTTGTTGCCAGCAGCTTCGGAGAGACGAGGGCCACAATGCCTGTTTAATTATGAAAATTTGAATTTATTCTCATAATATGAGTTACAAGACACTTACGAACGGCAGTAACTGATGTACTTTTTTATGAAGTTCAAAGACATTTCTCCTTCCGCTGTCTCCTCGTCAACATTTCTAGCATTCATGTGGACACCCATGACGTGCTTGGCCAAAGTCTGAAATTTTAAAAGGTTATGAAGAATTTTTTTATACAAAGACTTGATTAATTTTAAAATTTGTTCTATTATAAAAGTATAAATTGAAATAACTAAAAAAAGGACACATTTATTAGAATAATTGAATTTAATATGTTAATGTTTCCAATAGTCTGTAAAACAGCTAATAATAAAAAAAGTTTTTTTAACCAAATTAGCTTTCGTTTAAAGAAGTTTATATCACTCCCATTAATTTAGATGAACTAAATCAATGAGTGGCCAGATTTCACTATTTAAATTTATGGGAAACGTTTTTGAAAACATTTCCCTTACTTTTAGATTGGATATCAAAAGCTACGGAGATATTTTTAAACCTACCATGTCCCTCTGTTGACTGTGCTCGTCCTTGACAATAAAGATCATGTCAAATCGAGACAAAATTGTGGGCATGAAGTCAATGTTCTCCTCTCCCTTCGTCTCATCCCAACGGCCGTAAATTGAGTTCGCTGCAGCCAGAACGGAGCACCTCGAATTCAGGGTGGTCGTAATACCAGCCTGGAGAAATCAGTCATCAATGAAAACTTTGTGAAATTTCAATATTCTTTGAATATTCATACCTTGGCGATGGAAATGGTCTGCTGCTCCATGGCTTCGTGAATGGCCACTCGGTCGTCTTCCTTCATTTTGTCAAACTCGTCGATGCAGACGACACCGCCGTCGGCCAAAACCATGGCACCTCCTTCCATCACAAAATTGCGCTATTTATACAAAATTTAAAAAAATCACAGTCATCAAAAGTTTGAGTCTTACAGTTTGAGGGTCTCTGTTGACCGAGGCTGTAAGACCAGCGGCCGAAGATCCTTTTCCTGAGGTGTAGACACCAATGGGAGAGACCTTTTCAGCAAACTTGAGCAACTGAGACTTGGCAGTGCCGGGGTCACCAAGGAGCAGGACGTTGATGTCACCTCTCCTAGTCAGACCGTCAGGCATTCGCTTTCTTGACCCGCCAAACAAAAGACAGGCAATGGCTTTCTTCATGTCCTCGGCTCCAAAAATGCTGGGTGCAATGCTCTTGGCAATTCTGTCGTGAACGTCGGGCGAAGCAGCAAGACGACGGAAGGACTCTTCCTCCTCGGCAGTGAGTGGCGGACCAGAGGAACTTACTCCGGCGTCGTAAGAGTCAGAGCTGATGCCCAAAACTCGGATGTAAGGAGCTCGAACTCCCACAGTTTGTTTTTCTCCTCTCACCTTAACCAACGAAGAATAAAAATCAGTTCAATTTGAATTTCATGAAATTACCTTGCTGCCCAGGTTGACCTTCTTGATGCAGAAAATGCCCGTGACGATGACACGGTTTCCAGGAACAACTTTGTCACACAAGTACCTGAAAATAGATTTATTTGAGATTATTTTTATTATTTATAGATATAAACTTGGATAAACTTAGATAGATACTTGGAATTTTTTTACAATTTTCCTTACTTTTCGCAATAAAGTTTCATATGTCTGGCAACTTCTCCTTGAGGTACAGAGTCTGAGAGCTCCTGCAGCTTAATGATTTGGTAATCAACGCAGACACAATTGTCAGGACAGATGAAAAACGGATCCAACGGACACTTGGTGGGGCCAGCTTGTTCCCTGTTGCAACATTTTGTTAGTTTTTTAAGCAAGAAAATCAGCAATGATAATTACTGGTTGCATTTTCTGGGCAGGATGTAGCCTTCGAGGCCGGGTTTCACCATTAGGTTGGGAATGACGTTTTGGCAGCCCCGACATTGGATGGACATTTTTGTAGCTTTGGCCCTGATACCAGAGGTGGCGATCACAATGCCAGGGATTTTGATCATGCGGGACACGCTTTCCGAGTGCAGACCACGCAGGGAGGTGACGTTGGCGTCGGACTGGACAATTATTTGGATATCCTGAACTTCCTCCTCACCTTCCGGACGAGGAGCGGTAATTTCTCCGGCCACCTCTTTAGCAGCCTCTTCAAACTGATTTTAGATAAAAAAAAAAACGATAAATTAATGAAAACTTTATGGTTTCCAAAAAGTAAAGCTCACAAGCGGATGGTGTTCGGCTGGTTCTTTGTAAAACTTATCAGCCAGGGTGTCGTTAAAGCTTGCCAGGTCTTCCAAGTTTACCTCCAAGTAATATTGTCCGATATTGTAGTTTCTTTTCAGGGTATCTCTGAAATTTTAAATTTTGTAAAATCAAGTCTCTAACGTTATTTTCTAATTCTACCTGTATTTGTAGTGAAAGTTTCCGTCGTGGTACATTCTGAGAAACTCTTTCAGCTTTTGCTTGACTGCCTGTCGGGTTTGGCTCGCACCATCGTTTTGCATGTCTCGGAGATCGTCTGAGTAAAACACGCCGGCATCATCGAATCCTTCCATCTGTGGAGATAAGAAATATAAAAGATGTTGCTAAATGCACAAACTTGGGTAAAATCAGGCTTAAATACTTTTTAAAATCAAATTTAAATGCCAATTTAAGGGCATTTAAATGAACGCCATTGGAATGTGGAATTTTTTACGGCAGATTTCGTGCAAATTTCAGGTTAAATTGAGGAAATACATGTGGAATTTTTGAGAAAAAGAACTGATGCATCATAATTGATCATAAATTCACGCAATAATTAGAGAATTACGCAAATTTAAGTCAAAACTCACTTTTTCTTTTCGATCAGGACAGGAGCACAAGCAGAATTGGCGGGAATTCAACACACAAAAACACTGGGAAATGCTCTTGGTCTACGCATGCGCGTATCAAGGTTGTTCGGCGCGCACTCACTAGGGGCAGAGCGAGCGTTTTTGAACAGCGCCATCGGTCGGCCAATGAGGAAGCAGGCGACAGGTGCTTTTCGCAGTGGCGCCATCTTCAAACATGTGGTGCTCAACGTGGAGGTGAAACTGTGGAATTCAATATGGCGGCGGTGCTGTAGGTCGAGGGCCCGTGTGGCTGTCATTCGGACGCAGAATTTGGGCCCGAGAGCGCGTGCAGTGCGGAGATGGACAGCTGCGAGTACGAGATGGTGCGCAACAAGACGCTGCTCTTCTTCTTCGAGCGCCTCATGGACAAGGGCGGCCCGCGGACCCTGCACGACCTGAGCTGCCAGTTCGGGGCCAAGGGCTTCACCAAGGAGATGAGGCAGATCGCCGGTGGCTCCCAGTCCGGCCTCAAGAAGTTCCTCGCCCAGTACCCCTCGCTCTTCACCATCAACGGCGACTTCGTCCACGTCAACCAATTCACCGGACAATCCACTGGTAAAATTAAAATATTAATTAAATAATAATTTTTTTTTAATTTCTCTCCACTTGCAATCGTGGTTATTGTTGCCATATAAGGGAAAACAGATATATTTTTTTTCTCATATCGTTTTATACAACAGAAATTATTGTAATTAAATGTATTTCTCGAGATTCCTTCAGTAAATATTATTGTGCTTCTTTGGCTTTTCTTGGCCTACGGAGAAGAAAAATGAATGTTTGGCTTCGTTGATTGATTTCCCATGTACGTAAGTAAGGCTGGCTTATTTTTAGCCGTATCAGCCACCGAGGCGTGGAAATCGTTTAAAAAGACTTTAATCGATTTGTATTATTGAGTTGATTGCGCTAATACTTCTCTACTTATTACCGAGGCGCGATGAAATTAATTGCGCAAAAATTCATTCATTCGGAACCACACACGTTTCTGTGAAAAAGTAAGAAATTCTCGGCTAGAAAAAGAAAATTATAATTCAGTGGTTATAAAAAATTGATTAATTGGATTTTTATTCATTCAAAATCTTTAAATTTAAGGAAAATTTAAAACTCAATGTAAACTAACAAAAAAAAAAAAAATTAAATTTTACGTTGAACTGAATATTATTAAAATTGTTATTGTTTTCTTTTTTTAAATTAGAAATTCATGAATTAAAAAAATACAATTATAATTTAAAAATACTCATCCTGTCAAAAAATAAAAAATCACTTAATATATTAAACTTTTTTTCAAATAATGAAATATTTTTAAACATTTTAAGCTATTTTGGGAAAATTAAGAACAAATTTTAATTTATTTACTTTTAAATGTTGAAATGCACAGAAGAATCATTATAAAGATTTAAAGTAATTCATATTATAATTTTTTTTTATTTGTATTAAAATTTTAAATCTAAATAAAGAAGATTTATATTTGGTTAAAAATGCCAAACTTTATAGAGTGAAATAATTAAATGATTCGATTAAAACTCAATTTTTGACGGTTTTTTTTTTTTCAAATTGTGCTTTACAGGGAACGGGACGGAGGGCGGACAGCGCGGCGTCCGTGAGCGGGACTACGCGCAGGAGGCGGTCGAGTACTTCAGCGGCAAGTTGCTGCAGTACGGCCCTGGGACGGAGGTGCCGATCCGCAGTCTGCTCGGCCATCGGTCGCAGGCGTCGCCCGAGGTGCGGCACATCTCGGGCCAGCACATCAGCACCTTCCGCGAGTTCCTGATGCGCCACCCGGACGCGTTCGCCGTCACCGACGAGTCGGTCATGCTGCGCGAGTACGAGGGCATGCAGGCGGCGCCCTTCCGCGAACTGCCGCCCGAGACCAGCGTCGACCCGGCCCTCGCGGCCCAGCTCATCGACTTCCTCGTCTCCTGCCTCGAGGGCAAGGGCCCCATGCTCGTCGACCAGCTCTTCCACTCGGTCTGCACCAGGTTCGCGCAGGTAAGAGCAATAATTTTATTTTTTTCTTTTTTTTGGAAGTTCAATTTCATTTTTTATTAGTTTGGAACCTCGTCTCCTGGCATTTCCATGAGAAGTGATTTCTTTTTATTAAAATTCAGTAATTTTAATTTTTTTACTGCGATAATTTCCTTGTACTTAAACTTTATTTGAAAGACAGATTAATAATATAACATATTTGTGAAATTTTAAAGAAAATTTAATTAAAATATTGAAAATCTGCATTAAAATTATTTATAAATGCTTTAAAAATTTGGCACTTTCGAGAGGGAGGAAATTTCAGTTTATCCCAGCCAGCGGAACAAAATTTGTCCCGACGCGTTTTTCTCATTTATCAAATCATCTGAGCTACAAAATCATTAAATTTGATTTCCATTACATATAATTATTCAACTTCATCTTTTGAAAAGTTTTTAATCTTTACTCTAATCAAAAAAATTAATTAATAGAAAAAATAATTTAAAATTTAATTTCTTTTCGGGCCATTTGGGACTCACCAAATTTGAGAAAACTAACTCCTGGATTACAAGCTCTTTAAATTTTTTTATTTTTACACCTATTGTTGTTATTTTAGAATTTTGTATAATTTGACACATTAGATGATGAGAAAATTTAAATAATTGTGTCAGCGTGTGTATAGCGCAGATTTTGACTGCTTGTGACGTTCATTTCAATGGCGTGACTAGGCAGATTTTCCACTTTTTTTATGTTCTTTCTCACGCAAGTGTCAAGTGTCTATTTAAAAACTTGGTTTTTGTGTGTTTTCACTTCTTCGCAGTCATCGATGTGCAAATCACGACGTCGCTTGTGTGTTTTTTTTTTTTTAGTTTTTCAACTCGTTGTTGTAATTTGTTAATATTTTTCGTTCAATTGATACGTGCGAAGCGGTTTGAAAAACTGGATCGTGAGGCAGAAGCAGAGGGGTCGAATTCGGCTCCCTCTGGGAGAGACAATGCTGCTGGTCATTAACAAGGACGTAAAAAGCAGGAGCTGTAATTTCCGAGGGATCTGTCGACAAGGCCGGCAGGTCTGCGAATTAAATTAAAAAAAGCCATATCGCACCGCCTGCATATAAAAAAAGAAATACACCGGAGAAGCCAAAGGTGCAGCAGAACGAGAATTTTTTTAACTTTGAATGAAAATACTAAAATACATGCGGGAGTATTAACAAAAATTGTCAAAATAAAAGAGTAACATTTTTTATAAATTTTCAACTTTTGATTGCAATTTTCATTTTGCTTTCAATAATTATTTAATCATTGAATTTTGTATCGTTTCATCACTGAAGTCCTAGAAATTATTTCTCTCACCCGTGTTGCGATGCGCTGAGAATAAAGTGTGAATTACAGACCGCCTCGGTGTGAAAAGGCGCCGGCTTGAATTTCAATTTGCGCCATAAATCAATGGTTTGTCCTTTTTGCGCGCGGTGTTGAAGGCAACCGACTTACACCGAAGAGAAACAAAGCAGAGAGAATTTAATACACCTGCCTTGCAGGAAATTAGAAATAATGACACATATCAAATGTTTACAGCACAATTCACACACTTTGTCACGTTTGCAGTGAAAATTTGCAATGACAGAAGCTGAGAAGTTCCGTTCTAAAAATTATCATTAATTTTATATATGCAAACTTAACAAAAATAAAACTTTTAATAGTGAAAAAGCTGATTAAAAATGAAATGTAATTTAAGTTTTAAAAAAATTAAAGATTTCGAGATTGAAATGTAAATAAATGTTAATATTTAATTAAACTATTAAATTATTATCATTTTATGTAATAAAAATTAAAAAATTTTCAAAAAATTTATTTATGTATTTAATTATAAAAAAAAGTTAAGGATTTTTTTTTATTAAATGTTTGTTCAAAAAGGGGAAAAACATATTTGTATGTGCAAATTTTCATATTTATCTTGAAGTTTAAATTATTATTTAAATATTTCAATTAATTTTATTTCCACCATTTTCTGTGTATTTGATAATTATTGATTTTAATGTGAATTTTTTGTGTTTTTTGATTTTAGGAAATGTGGTCGTGCATGTTCAAGACGCCTCAAGACTTGTCCACCTTCCTCAAGATGCACGGACACACGTTCCACGTGCAGAGCTCGCTGGTCACGCTGGTGCAGCGGCCGAGTTCGAACGCGAAGCCGCCGCACAACCCCAAGGAGATGGACCAGTGCAACAACAATGAGAATCTCAACAACGAGTCCGCGCTCAACATCAACAACAACATCAACCTCTCGGGCACGACGGGCGGCGCCAAGCAGACGCCCAAAATCATGAGCCTGCGGCAGCGCATCAACTCGCTGGTCATGAAGACGCTGGCCGACAACACCGAGAGGGACCGAATCGCCGCCACGGCCAACATCCACGCGCCCACCACCACACCTCTAGGTACAAAATCATTTTCATTCTGCAATGAATTCAAAAATTATTCAAGATTAAAAACATGAAACTAATTTAACAACAACCGCAGAGCTAACATTTGAAAAGATCCCTTGCTAGAATTTATTTCCATTTTAAATTCAAGTTTTCTTAATTGATTTCGAATCCAAATTTTGCCTCCATGATTCAGTTTCAATTTCTAAAAATGATACATTTATTTAGAGAAGATGTTTTTGTTTTGCGTTTTATGTCCTGAATTTAAAAAAAAACCGACTGTGTCTTGTGCTGTGAATGTAAATTTTGTTGTTATCGTTTTTTTGCAGACATGTCTGGAAATAGGGCGAGGGTGCTGCAGCGAGCGCGCGTCATCCAAAGCGTGCAAGAAGCCAACGCCGTGCTCGCAGAAATATTCAAAAGCAAGCCGTGCGCGGTCGCCTTCGATTGCGAGGGCATCAACCTGGGTGCCAGGGGTCAACTCACCCTCATGCAGTTGGCCACCCTCAACGGCAACGCGTACGTCTTCGACCTGCTCACCTGCCCGGCCCTGATCGCTGAAGGGGGTCTCCATTCCCTCCTCGAATCCACGGAAGTTGTTAAGGTAGGACAAAATCAATCTTACATTGAAAATGTTTTCATTAAAACTTCAAATGAGACAAAATAATGCATCTAGTTTAAAATGTAACCATTTTTTTTATATGTAATTTATTTTATTCTGTTATTTGATAAAATATATAATAATTTCAAGAGATCAAATTTAGCTGAAAGAGCCAATTTTTATATCTGCTCACAAAGAGGTAGACTTTCTTTCTTGTCTCTTATTCGTGCAGACCTGATGAAATTCTTTAAATTAAGTCTAAATCACGCTCAAACAAGCTTATTTTTCATTAATTTAACATTGTAAAGTCCTCAAATTGGACAAAAGAGTTTATTTTAACCTTGATTGAATTCGCTGAGGGCCAGATTTGTTGTTTTGTTTCTTCAGTTTCTTGTTCTGCTCTCCGAATATTCAAAATAATGGAATAAGCAATTCAAGATAATTTAATGTCTGAAATAAAGCTGGAATAAAAATTGGCAAAATTCATAAACAATTTCAAGACATTGCCTCTAAATCCTACTCTGTCAGTCTCGCTCGGATTGTTCTTGTCCAAGACCCGGGTCACTGGAGTTGACATTAACCTTGAATGATGTTGACTTTGCCTTGGCCACACTTAACTGGTCGTTTCACCGCGATTGGTGCGACGGTGTTGTTTGCTCAGGATTTGATTAGCGCGAGAAATTGCTGACTGGACCCGCACCCTAGTCCACCCTCCACCCCGCTATTCTGTATCTCGCTCGCCCGCTCGGCCGGCCTGAATTTGATTACGGTGCGCGCGCGAGAATTTATCCGATCAAATATTTATTCATCGAGGAGAGGAGAAAATTGACTCTGCGGCTCGTAAATGGAAACGCCGAGTTTTCCGATCAGCAGACGTACACCTTGCCAGCGTTTCGCCAGCGGGCTGATATCGAACGGGGGTGGAGGGTGTAATGTTCAAAACTCATTAACTGTTTGGTACATTTTAAAGGCTTCGATGAACATGATTTTGCAGTATTCAATTTTATATTGATTGAGATTGAGCAGGAAAAAATTGAATAAAATGGTTTTTTTAAACATGCGCAAAATAACTCAAGGTAAGAGGTTGACACCTATAAGTTTGCTCCTGTTTGATTGAAAATTTCACAAAATTTGATTGAAATTACTCAACAAAGAAGGTTTTGGCGTACAAACGATTTGTTATTGTAATTTGAATCTTCATGAAAGCTTATGTTATTTTTTTTTCATTTTAACCAGTATTTCATCTTATTAGACTCAAAAAAATCCAAAATAGATTTATTTTCAAATTTAATATTCTTATTTATTGATATTTCAGTTTCCAGTTAAACCATTCGTCTCAAGATTCCAGCTTTCTTTCCTCTGCAAAGTTGCACGCTTAGAAAGAGAAAATTCTCACGTGTGTCTCGATTTACCCTGCACGCGGTGGCGAGAGCGGCTCGCGTTTAATAATGCACGAAATCAACATGTCCCTTCAAAGCCGGCATGAAAAATTCACGGCGGCGGCGGCGCCAAGAAAGTTGCCGGCCGGGGAAATTGAAAATTATTCCGAGTGGCGTCCATAGATAATATTTAAGAGTGCGGCGAGCATCATGTTGAGATAAAATATTTAGGCCCCATCGGGAGGTGCGCGTGGCTGCCTTCGAATGGCCCTCGCGTCGGTCCGTATTTATAGTTATGGCTCCTAGTGGCATTTTGCACGCCGCCGCAAGACGCGGCGCACCTGCAGCCGCGTGCAAAATTAATTAACGAGCCACAAACGCTCTTCCCGAGAAATTCGTATCCCGCCGCGCGTATTTTGAGTGAGTTACGCAAATTGGCGCGGAAAGTGCGGATTAATTTTGCACGACACGAGTGCGTCGGAAGCGCTAATTGAAATTTCACTTCACGCCCAGCCAAAATACAACTTGGGCTCTAAGCAAGCTTAAAACGCTGATCAGAATTAGGCTCTAAAGACAAAAAAACAGGTGATTGACAAACATTTTTAAGTTAAATTTAAACTAAAGTGGATTTATTTTATTTTAAATCATCATTTTTGAATAGGATGCATCAAAATTCATCAATTGGGGCAAATATTTTTAAACAAATCCTCAATTTTAATGTTTCGTCATAAAAGGTCTCCATTGGAATATTGGAATTTGAAAAATACAAAGATCTTTTTCATTCGTTATTTATTGTAAAAATAAAAATATAAATCATCATTACCATCGTTTGCAGGAATTAATTAATTTACTCGTAAACAAGAAAAATGGAAAAAATAAATACATTTTTGTCCTTTCATTGAAACACTTCTCAAATATTTTATATGATGTTAAACAATTTTATTAAAATGATCTTTAAGCTTTAAATAATGAATAATGAAGATAAAATCCACCTTTAATCAATTTATTTACTCTTGGCAGCACTTTAATTTTTAAATTTATTTTTTATTTTTTACCAAATTCTATCAAAAAAATCAGGTTAATTGAATCTGAATAAGTCATTGATTTTTTTTTAATTGTATATTTCAGCGTTTTTATTCTCCTTTCTAAGTAAAATTCAGATTCGTCCAACCTCCGTGTATTCGTAGAAAAGTACCAACGCAGGTGTCGTTCTGGCGCGTCAGCTTGTCAAAATCTCTTTTCTGTCCGAGCCGTAAACCAAAGGTCTTCCCTGGCATTTTGCATATATATTTTTACGCGGAAAAGATGGAAATTGATCGGATGCCGAAGTCGGAGGAAAACAGACCGCATAAATATTGACGAGGGGGAAAAGCAGCCCGAGTCTGTCTCTCTCTCTTCGGAGGAACTAATAATAATAAAAGAGCAGGAAGAGAACATAAAACGCTGATCCTCCGCGCCAGGTACACCAGCGTGACATAAATTGTTATTTTTCGCGCCGGCTCTCTCTCTTTCCCTGGCATATATAAAAAATACATCAGCCGCCAGCAAAGAGCGAATTTATTTTCGTCCGCAGTGAGCATCTCTGTGCATTTTCTCGGATTACAAAAGGGTTGTGATAAGACGGATTAGCGCGAATTCCTTTGTTTTGCAGCAAAACTTGTGTTGCATGTGTCGCCATTCTCACTCTGGCTTATTTTAGATCCATTCTCGAAGAATTAATTCAGAGAGACAAAGATGCTTTCGCTGTTGTCTGGGAAGAAAAGTAAGGCGCCGGCGAAAGAAGAAAGAAAGCGCTCCGGATTGTTTCCCACGAATAAACGTCTAATGAATTGTTGGGCTTCCTAAACGGATGCTAATCGGATCTTTTCATTTGTTACACTGGAGGGGACGGAGAAAAATTGCTTACAAATTAATAGTTCTAAACTTTCTTTTAGCAATTTAAGCAGCAATAATTTTTTTGGTATTGAATTTTTTATTAATTTCCTTTATTTAATTAAATATAAAAGAAAAATATACCTACATTAAAAAAAATTAAATAATTTACTTAATTAAAATCTATGAATTTTGCTTAATCAGCAAGATATTCAAGAAATTATACTTTTTAAAGCTGGTTATTGAAAATTTGAAATTATAAACCAATTCCAAATGAAAATGTAAACAATTTTATGTTATTTAAATTATGCAAAAGATACAAATTGTACAAATTTTTTTTGGTTTCTTAATTATTGCGATTCCAAATAAAATCCTGGAAATTGCGAGTTCCATTCTTCATTTTATTCAGAAACAATTTATCACGTGGAACGTCAGTCAATACATGTCCCGAGGATTGCACCTGCCGCTTTTCCTCAAGTGGGATTTGTCCTGGCTCTATGCTGGAGTTTCACTCGAGAGTTCCTTTATTTCGGGCGCTTAGGTGCTCTGTTCTGTGCATTACCGCACTTTAAATATTCATGGCGCTCGCTCTCGCTTGATCATCCACTTTATACCGCTCAATTTAATCCGCACCTGCGTCCCGCCCTTTTGTTTCGCTCGTGCTAAACTGCGGCTCGCTTATTAAATGGAAAAGTTTTGTGATCGACGACGACGATTATTAAGTTTGCGCCAACTGGTGCTCAAAGTGATGAAAGTGACGAATTTCCAAAGTTGCTCGGCAAATCGTGCAAAACAAAATTCACACCTTGCATTTTCAGTAAATTTATTTAAAATAAAATATTAAATAAAATGATCAAATGAATTTATTTTATATGTTTAAATTGAGGATCTACAAACACCTTATTTGATGAAAAAAGTTCAATTGAATAATCAGCATCTTATTTTCATTTCAAATAACCAATTTTGAAAAAAAAAACTTTTATCCAAAGAATAACACATTGAAGTAAATAAACAATAAATAATTTTTTTTTAATTTTAGCACTCATGTTTTTGCATTTCCAGATTCAAGCCATTCTTCTTCATATTTCTACAAATTAATTAAAAAATGATTATATTTCTGAGGAAATTTAAATCCAATCTTTTAACCCAGCAAAAGCTTCAACACACTTTGGCTTTTCAAGTGGCTTTTTGAGCGTCTTGGATCCTTGGCAAAAGCTGCTCCCTTAACTTTTTCTCTCTCCATCGCGAAAAGTGCGAGCCTGTTGCTCTGGCACATAAAAAGCGGAAAATATGGCGGGGCCCATATTTTCTCTCTTGGCGCAAAGGTGGATTAGTTGAATGAATTCTGGAGCCTTGCGAAAGGCAAAGGAGCGAGCCTGCGAGTGAGTCACTCCTCGGAACGGGGCACGTAGCAAGCAAGGGTGGGTCGACGGGGCCTCCCCTGAGTACAATATTTAAGGCACCGCACCTGCTTAAATATTTACCGGCCGCCTCTAAATAATGCTTTCGCCTCAGCCATTTTTACGCCCCTCCATAAATTGATACGTATAAAAACGGGCCGCGCCGCTTTTCTGCAAATTGCCACAGCTGAATTAATTAGTCCGACAGGGAGATTTACGACTTTGTTGCGTTTGTTGCAGATTATCCACGACTGCCGGAACGACAGCGTTAATTTGTACAACCAGTACGGCATCACGCTCAACAACGTTTTCGACACGCAGGTAATTTTCCACCTTTAAATTTTAATGTGTCATCGAATGCATTTCTAAATTTTGTTGAAAAAAAAATCGATACATTTGGCGTGAAAATGTGATTTTTAATCACATTTCATTAAACTTTCCGAAACAATCGATTGAAAATATTAAAAAAGAATTATTACTAAAATTTGTATCAGAAGTAAATTTATTATTGTCAAAATCAATAACAGTATCTGCATCAAAATTTAAAATTTCATTGAGTTTTAAAAATTTTGTTCAAATTTAAAACAAAAATTTATAAGTTTTGAACCAGAAATTTGCCATTTTTTTCAGTCAGTTTTAATAATAAAAAAAAAACGAATGAAATTACGTTTGTAATTTCCAATTTTTGATAATTATTGAAAGTAAATTAAAAATCAGTTTATTCCTCCGTCTCAACCCTTTTCCTTTTTTGAGATTCATTTTTGCTGAAGCTTTATTCTGAAGCCTTCCGCTGCAAACAATTCTGCTTCTGACAAGCCCTTTCAAAACGTTTTTCCTTTTCTCCTCCTCCGCCTACATGTTTGTTTTGCGTCCCTCGCGACTTTTAGCGTGCTCGTCGCAATCAAAGCGAAAAATGAATCGATTACCATTCGGTCCGCTGACTCTGCTCTGTTTTCCGTGGAAATTTAGGCGGCGCACGCGATCCTGCAGCTGCAGGAGACAGGCAAGCCCGTCTACAAGGTGAAGAACGTGAGCCTGAACACGCTGTGCGAGCTCTACCAGGCGCCCATCAACCCCATGAAGGACCAGCTGAAGAGCGTCTACCGCAGAGACCAACGTTTCTGGGCCCGCAGGCCGCTCACCAGGGACATGATTTTCTACGCTGCCGCCGACGTGCTCGCTCTTGTTCCCCAAGTGTACGAAGGCATGAGAAGGTACAAAGTTAATTTGTTCGTTAAAAAATTTTTAAACAAGAGAAATTCTGTTATTTAAAATGAATTTCAAAAATAGCGTTTTTTTATTATTATAATTCCAAAAGATATTTAAATAAATCAATTTATTTAAATTAAAATACATAAAAATAACGTCAGAGAAAATAATTTGCAAAGAAAAATAACATCATTTGTATGCAATAAAATTTTTTAATAAGTTAAATGTAGAAAAATTAACAATTTTCTTATCTCATTTAAAATTTTTTGTTCTTATCAAATTTTCAGGTCAATCCAGTCAGAGCGAGAGGCCCTCTTTCAAGACTTATGCCGCGAACAGGTGATGATGCATGTCACTCCATCCGAGGTCAAACTTCACAAGAAGCAGCGCAAAGTTGAGACCGAGGTCGTCGACCTCAAGTGCAAGCTGTCCGCGGCGCAGGGCGCAAAGTCCCTCGTGCTCAGCAACAGGGAAATTAGACTGCTTAGGTATATATTTCCTTTTCTTTCTATTAAAATTGTTCTTATTAAATTATCTCCCTCCAGATACGTTGAGTTGACTGAAGATGAGAAAAACAAGCTCAGAGGCTCGTATAAAGTTGCTCGCAAACTGGAAAAGCTGGAAGGCGCTGGTGGCGACAGGTCGTACAGTGACGACGACGATGATGAAGACGAGAGTGAAGACATCATCGGTGACTTTCCTAGTCTTGACAGCACCTGCAGTGGTCACACCTCTCCTGATGCCTCCATTTCAACAGGTACAATTTATTTCAGTTTCCACAGAAATTTGAATACAATTTCTATTAAATTTAATGTGTGGAAAATTTAAAGAAATGAAATGAGAATTTGAAAAACAATTTAGAAACTAAGTAATTTGGAACTTTTTTTTTTTTTTTTTTTTGCGAAAAGTATTTAATATTCCAGAATATTCTAAATTAAATACTTTATTTGAAAATGATTTCATTTTTTATTTTAAATTAAATTAATGGATTCCAATTATTGGAAAGAATTGTAAATATTTGCTTTTTTAAATGAGAATTCTTCAAAACTCTCATTTTATCTAATCAAATTCTGCAGTTGAACTTAATTTGGGGAGAAATTGGAATTTTTTTTTCATTTAAATTGGAATTTGTCTCTTTAATTACTAAATTAAATCCTTTTGCAGGTTTAATAACCTCTCCGCCCTTATCGCTGGACCCTCCAACCCTCACCGAAAGCATGCAGATGATGGACGAGATTCTGTCCGACGGTCTGATGGACAAAGTGGAAAAGATGGAGCGGCTGGAGGCCGTCCTGTCAGCGGCCACCTCCGGCCTGGACCGCCTCGCCTCTGACTCGGCCGAGCAGTCCTTGTGCGTCTGTCAGTGTCACCAAGCAAGGGAGGTGACCAACGTGTCGGCCACAACCTCTCCCATGAACTCCATAACCCATTCTGCGGGCCGAGCAGAGGTGGCCAGTCAAACGCTGGCCACCGGTGACATCGTCATCACCAGAATTTTTTTCACCGAGGAAGAGAAGGAGAAAGAAAAAACGTTGTCCCCTAGAGGGGAAGAGTAGAACTTTCTATGACAATTCTAATAATTGGGTTTGGCAATTTTCCGTTCATGGTTGCTTTGGTGTTTTGTTTCCTGTCCTTGTTGTTTTTATTTGTTTTTGCACACCAATCCATACAAAGCCCTGTGTTGTTTTGCACTGTTGGATATTTTCTGTACATTCCAATTTTTGGAAGGATTTTTCCCGTAGCATGTTTTTTTTAATTCTGGAAAAGTGCCAAGCCTAATTTGGTTATTGCCTTGTTTTCAAGGAACTCACCTGCAGTATTAGTGAGTAGACAATACTTAATTAAAGGAAGCTACTTTGCTGAGAGGAAGTGCTCACTAATTTTTACGCGCTAATAGTTTTTGACGGTTTATATGTTAATTTGCTTGTAAAATATTTAATTTATATTGTATACTACCAGCTTATCAAGACAGAACAGTGCCTGATGCATTCATTGATTTTTGTCGGACGGAGTTTGTGTAATAAAATGACAAAATTGCTCTGAGGTCGTGGTTCGAGATGCAAAGTACGAACGAGCTCTCAGATTTCTTAAACCAATTAAGAAAGTCTGACGACATTTGCCTTATGGAAAGTATTTATATATACACAAGTGATTTTAAACAAAAATTATACACGCGTCGTTCTAGGGCTAGAAGACATTATTTGTTCTCTGTTATTTGCATTGAATATCAATCATATATAATCTGTGATTACTAATTTGGGCTCTGTGTTGTACTCCTTTCTTGTGATTCCTCAAGACGCTTTATTTCTGCCCTCATTCATTTTGCTTGCTTTTTTATAAAACCCCGTTGAGTAGTGCAGCTGGATTTTTGTATCCTTCTTTCAATTAAGACAAATCTACTTCTTGAATGGCCTTGAATAATCATGCAAAACTATCTCTGATCTAAACTAATCAAGCTTACGACAAAGTACTTAAAAGTGACAAACTTTATGCAATGCAACTGTAAAAATGACTATCCAACTGGTGTAGACGTTTCTTTGAATATTGCTCACTAAGGGATACATGCATACAAACTGATTAAACTTGACACCTTTTGAAGACTATTTTTCCATGATATCCCACGTGAATTTTAAGATGCGCAGAAAAGAAAAATACACACACATGTATAATGATGAAACAGAAGTTGAAAATGGCCATATTTTAATAAAAAAAAGGTGTAAATAAAATAACAAAAAGTTAATGACACTTGTCACGCTTTGGATGTTCAAAGTATGATGCAGATTAATATCTACAATTCATAGTAGTTGCCTGAACGAATTCAGAAGTAGGGACAACATATAATGATAGAAAAAAGGTACATAACTATTGGGATATTAGCTAGTCGTAGGACAAGGAATGCCTGTGCAAAATAATTTATGCCGAGAGTGATAGTATTTTGAGCAACTGTGAACGAATGATGATGTACAGACCAATAAAAATCTGTCAATACATTTATTATTTACCAAAAACTTGTTTCCTTTCACGCTTAATAAGGACAATACAGTGTAAAATTTCATTTCGAAAAAAGAATCTTTATTTAGGTTTTTTTCATCTCATTTAACAAAACGAACATGTTTGGTAAATTGAAGACAAGTTAGATCATCGTGTTTTTAAATTAAGAACTGTCCACGGACTGTAACAATCGTAATGCCCTGCATCTCCGTGAAAATCTAGATGCTTCGATTGACTTCATTAATTTTCGCAATTCACACCAGACAAGAATAAATTATAATAATCAGCTTTAAAGAGAGATAACACTATATGATTTTAAACACTCCATCCAGGCAAACAATCAATCAACCAATTACTCGTCAGGTCCAGTCTCAGATGCTCGAGTCGGTCACAACTCTTCCCTCATGTACTTTGGCTTGAGCTCCTCTATCCTCTTGATGAAATCTGTTTTCTCAAGACAACCTTCACAATCCTCATCCCAGTCGTTCAGGATTTTCTTCAGATCACGGACCTTCAGCTTTTTCAGGTCGACAGTCTTCAAATCGATTGTCTTGTCTAGAAGATTAAAATAGAGCAAAAAACATGATTTAAAAAATTTCTAGAATATTGTAATTTGGATTACGTAACCGATTTTGAGGAGAATATTACTGAAATTTCATTAAAAGTTTTAATTTCAAAAGGCTAGAATTGAATAAATATTTTTAAATTACCTCACTTCTGGCTGAGGTCATGAAAATTTTCAAAATTTGCGTCAAATTATGGACGTTTTAATTAAAATTTAATTTTAACAGGGCTCTTTAAAACTTGTATGGATTAAATACGCACCATATCGCAGGTCACAAATCTGAGCATCCTTTTTCTTGAGCTTTTCGCAAATTTTGTCTGCAGGCAAGCTATAGGAAATGGGCTTCGAGAGCTCTCCTAGAATCCCGGTTGCCGATTCTTCAAGGCCGCCCAAATAGTAACACTAGCGAAATTCAGATGAAATTACACATACAACTATATTATTATTTTAAATTTAAGCTTACGAATCTGTTTTCCTTTCCACGCAGATCTTTGCAGTAATCTCTGAATTTGTTTTCGATCGCTTTGGGGTTTTTTTTCGTTGCCTCCGAGAGCGAATCTGTGAACCTCTGGACCACCTTGATGCAAACTGCAAACGAGATGTACATTTTTAATTCATTAAGGGTCGTTGAACGCTTTAACATACCTTCGCACTCGTCGGGTTTAAGGGCGGACACAGTGGCCACCAGGGCCATCGAAAGACAAACGGCGGCGAACCGCATTTTGAGACCTGCGAAAAGTAGAGCCAAAAGCGAAGCAAATCCGGATTCTATGAATGAGATCCCGGGTAGAAAATGATTCCGTTGGCGAGACGACACTCGGGACGTGGTCAGGAATTTATAGGACGGCAGACAGTACCGTTTGTGCCACAAGAATCGCAAAGGAAAGAAAATGAGTCAAGCATCCACGTCAGTTTTCTATTCAGGGTTAAAGACCAGCTGGCGAACTCTGATTGGTCCACATGGGCTGGTCCGCGCTGTGATTGGTCGGCGCAAAATGGAACCTCGTTTGAATTTTCCTCTCCAATGCTTCTCCTCTGCGCAGCAAGAACGTTCGGTTTTCAGCACAAAAGGGTGGGGAGGGGTAACAAAACTTTGCCTACACTGTTGCTTTCGGCAGGCGAATCCGTCTTTCTTTGAGACAAGTGTCTGGATTTGGTTATCAGTCAGATTTCACTTCAGATGAGTGTGAAATTGGCGGACTTTTTGCAGTTTTCCCGAGTTCTTCGCCACAGCTGTGACATGTAGACGTTCAACGAGGTCATTTGGCGAGAGCTGCGTGCCTGTAAATGCCAGTCAATCTCGATAAAAAATACGCCCCCGACCTACAAGCAGATCGACGTTTACTTTGCAACCATGTCAGGAAGTAAAAACAATGGTAAGATTACATCACACAAATTTGATTAAATTTTTGGACCAACCGTCGTGCAAATTTCAGCTCCTCTTGTGCCAATCAGGCCTCCACCACCTCCTCCTGGAGCTCAGGGAAGCAACAAGCAAAATGTACCTGCCAAAATAAGGTTTGAAAATGACATCTGGAAAATTGGCAATCATTAAAATTATTATTTCAGGAGTGGAATGAACCTGTCGAAACTCCTTCCGAAGCGGATGCAGAGAAATGGTCCGAGTGCTCTGGGTCCTCAGGGTTCAAAAAAGTCTGCACCACCACCCAGACCTCCTCCTCCAAAGGTCGCTCCTAAGCAACCGGTACCTGAACTAATACATTTTTAAACAATTTAATTATTTTTAATTTTATTCAGGTGCTCATTGACCTTCTGAGTGGTTCTCCTCCCAGTTCTCCGTCTCCCACTCTTCGTTCACAGGAGAGTGGCTTCGAAGAGTCGCCGGACGTCTGGCGCAGTTGGCCCGACAGTTCCAACTCCACTCCAATGGTGGACTGGACGGTGGGGCCAACGACCAATAGTTTTGCATCCGCAGACCCGTGGGATATGGAGTGGCCGACGTCGTCGGCAAATCAGACTTCTTCGAATTGGGCCAAATTCGACTCGGTCCAGCCGCAGAGGCAGTTGTCCGAGGTCCGGTCGACTACGATGCCGACCCTGGGCTCTTCTGCGCCTGTATCAGGCTCAGCTGCTGCGGCAACCATCAAGAGTGCGCCATCCATGCCCACCATCATCAGGGGTGGACCTCCCAAAAAACTGGTCAAGAAAGATAAAGTGGTTAGAGCTAGTTTAGAGCTTTTACTTAGAGTTCCGCTTATTTCTGCAATTCAATTATTATTTAACAAGTTTTTTTCCTTATGTTCTAATTATTTGCCATATAAATTGGTTCAATTTTTTAAATTTTAAGAATAATTTTTTTTTTAAAGTAAAATTAAATTTTTCTCCAAAATTGTAGTCATTTCCCAAATAAATTTGTTCCATATTGAAATTTTATATAAACTTCAATAATTAAAAAAAAATTACTAAATTAAATTAAAATAATTAAATTAAATTTTTCCTAAATTTTTTATTATTTGCCATATAATTCATATTGTAAATTTATATAAACTTATTTAAATTAAAAGAAAAAAATTACATTCGATTGAATTAATCTTAATAAGTACGCTTCGCACCTTTCCAAAATTCCTATCCACTCCTTAGAGATTTATTGTGAATTAAATCAGAATAATTGAGTTCAATGTGACATCTTTTTATTAAAAATTTATTTAAATTTAGAAATTCTATGTAATTATTTTTGTTAAATTAACAGAGGAATTACGTAAATTGTAGGAGGAGATTTTAGAGGATGAAGTTAGTCTGGTCTACAGCCCTCCAATGCCGAGTTTTCCTCCTCCTGAACTTCCAGCCGACGTTGAAGACTCCTCTAGTGAAACATCCAGTAACTTTGTAGCCATTGCTCTTTATGATTACGAGTCAGATCATCCTGACGACCTGAACTTTAAGGTGATTAAAAAAAAACTATAAATATTTTAGAAATTTATTAATCGAATTAAAAATTTCAGGCTGGAGATGTGATTGAGGTGCTCTCGGCAGTGAACGAAGACTGGTTTACTGGGCAGTGCGGAGACAGGGTAGGACATTTTCCATCCAATTTTGTGGAGCCTCAGTGATTCGAGGCAAATTTCATCAAAATGTGATCGTGCGACTTTTTTGCCCCCAATATTCGATACAAGCCCATTAAGTGATCTGCATTTTTTGTGTGCGTCAGGGTAACTTGACTGCATCAGCTTATTCAACATTCGTCAAATATCCATGATTTATGAATTCAGTGCATCCATTTGCTGCCAATTTACATTAGTTAAAACGCTACTTTAATGCTCTAGTGATCTTAGATTAATCCACTTTTCACCTTTGTAATTTTAGTACGAGTAATCCTCACTGAAAAATTCATAAATTTTTACAATTCTTGAATAAATAAAATACTGTTTCTCTCTATTGCATAAAAACCTGAAACGATTAATTTGTAAATCCTCTGAACTTTGATATTATTTATGTTATGCAGGGTGATACTCACAGATGGCGTTCTTAGTGAGCAATTGACTTAATGACTGAGTTCAACAAAAAACATTCGCTCCCTTCTCTTGCAGGATAGATTTGGAATGTTTGTAAATAGTAGCTGGAGGCGCGCCACTTGGCACTCTTTGAAGGAGATTTTTTGTTGCTCCATCACACATTTCCCTTCTCTGATAGAAAAAAAAATTCGCAACAACATTTGATGAATTGACACGTTCATTGTCTATTATATTTGCCACCCGCAGATTGGTTTTTTTGCACAAGTGGGCCAACCGACGTTCATTCATTGCAATTTACTGAGCTCGGAACTTGTCACTGGGGGACACAAACTCTCAATCATGACAGGCATTTCCTATTGCTACGATCTCGGGACCACTCGTCTAGATTATGCACAATGAACTTGTTACAAATCAAGGTTAACCCCTAATTAAATAAAAAGTGGCCCTTGGAATTAAATTAAAAAATGTCTTAAAAAAACTGTATTTAGATTAATTTTTTTCTTACAATTTAAACTCATTCCCAAGCATGAATTAAGTTTAAAATGTGTTGATTTAAAATATTATTTTATAATTTTTATACTCAATTGTTAGTCTCAACTTAAACTGAATAACTGATTTTCAAATTAATTAGTTCTATTTGAGTATGTAATCGCGGGGAAATTTAAAATCATCAACTTTTCCTCAAAACAGGTTTCAGTGACGTCAATTCATCTTAATTTAATGATCGTGGTTTTCCTTGTTTTGCTTGAGCGCAGCAGGTGAACTCATTTTGACCCCCATTTATTTATTTATTTATTTCTGTGGAGAATCCCCATTATTAATGTGAGCGTGGCTAAATTAAAAATTGCACCCAAAAGAAACTAAAAAAAATCCACAGTAATTTTGCCTTGAGATATTTTTAAGGGGCGGCATAAATCAAAGCGTGCTCTCAGCTAAATGACAGATGTTAAAAGAGCAAATTATTTATCTTTCAATCAACATTGAATTTTTCCTGAGCGAGACAGTATTGCCGACAACTTATAAACTAACTGATTAAATTTAGAATAAGTTCCAACAAAATTGTCACATTTTAAATATGCAAAATTTCATGATTAAAAAAGGAGGGAAGTAAAATTATTGCTGGAGCACCAATACTCATAAACACTGGATTTATTATTATTTTTTTAACAAGTAAAACAAGACTACATTTATTTACTTCTGCTTTGAAAGTGATTAAGTATAAAGTAAACTTGAATTTACAAATCTAAAAATAAATCCAGATAAACCAGAAATGTATTGATTTTTTTTTTAAATTTTCATTTATCAAGGGCAGCTGCATTTTTATCCCAAATAAAAGAACTAGTTTAAAAATAATCTCAAGTGCTTTTTTAAAAAAAGGGTGATAAACTTCTCCACCATGTCTGGGTTCCTGGGTTGGAGGGAGTCGCTTCTTCTGTAACATTTTGCGCACAAATGTGTTAAATTTGTATGTGCGTCAGAAATGGAAAAAATGTAAAAAATTCGTGTGAGGCCTTCAGTGGGAATTGATAAAATTGCAAGCGCATTGCTTGTGGGAGTCGCCGGCGGTGATCGAGAGTCCCGGCCGAGAGGGGGGCCGCATTGTATATAAAAGGGAAGAGTGCCGGGCTTGGAGCCTCCAGTCGGCGCAATTTCCTCCGGCCTGTTTGCATTTCGACTCAAAGTCGCGGTCATTGGTGGTGCACCACTTCAACTTGCACACAAACAAACGCCAACTTTTACCCAAGAGCAGGAAACACGTCGAGAAAGAGACGTGCAGGTCTCCTTCAAAAAAGGGCTGCAAAGGAAGACTCGTAAATTCCGTAAGTAAAATTTTCTGTCAGAGTGGCGCAAGAATAGTGACATTTTCTTGATTTTTACCCAAATTTTTATTTAATTACAAATTTTAATGGTGATTTTTAAACCAAATTAACTGAAAAGCAATATAATTTAAAATATTAACAAAAAAGGAATAGTTTTGAATTTTTTTTCTTTTGTTGTTAGATTAAGAAATTTTGACGGAAAAAAGTATATCCGCTTGATAATGCCACTCTTGGCTGCATTGCATGTCCTTGCTGCTTTAATTTTTTGTGGCATTTCACGCCGTCGTTCACTTTCTTCAAACGGATCAGTTCAGCCGGAATTGTATGCATGTTTTGGCACCAATCGACTTTTTTCAATCGCCTTGGGTTTAATCAACGATTCACTGAACTCGTAAAGAAAGTCAAGCAATTTGGTGAGATCAATTCAAATTTCTCAATATCATCATCATTCAAAAGTGACGAAAGAAAGTTGCTCGACACAATGGAAAAGAAAAAATTAAAGTAATTTACTTTGTAAAAGAAAACTATTTTATTGAATAGTAAAAAAATTCAGTGTGGATAAAAAACCAATTCAAATTGTACGTCTAGACGTGTAAGCCATTGAATTTATTAATTAAAAATAACGCTTTTCATAAACTTTTTAATGTTCTGCCATTTATAAAATAAATACAAATAGCCAATTACAATCCAACACCAACAGTAATCAATTGTTTTGAAGTAATTTTTAAATGACTTAATGTTATCATTTTAGGTTTCAAAATTATAAAGCGTACTTGTTTTTTTTTTATTTTTCAAATTTAGCTCTCAATCACTCGTATTTATGTTATATATCAAGATTGGTACAGACGCAAATACATGAAACAACTTAACCTGTAATTAGACGAGTGCAAAATGAGTTATGCATTTATACAAAGAGAGCGTGTGCCGGCCACACTCGGCCACATATTATTATCTCAGTCTGGAATTATGGGTTTTATCGTTGAGGCTTGCAAAACCAGACCACTCGAGTGCAGTGACAATAATTGCCGATTTAATTTCACTGACTTTACAGAAGCTTGCGATGTTCATTCTGTGATATATGGAGCAGCAAGGCCTTTTATTAATTATTGCACAAATAGAGACACTTTCCTTGGGTATTGCTGAACAAATCGCTTTTCTATTAACCTACATCACTTGCCTTTGGATTTAAAACTAATCTCTTTCCAAATTACATAATTAACGTATTTTTAGATCAATTGTTAGTTTACTTTTCTGGCATTTTAAGCGATAGGAATTATATAATTGTTTGTGCCTTTCATATTCCCTCGAGGAAAACTTACTTTATATAATTCACTTCAGGGAAAGGAAAGCCATTCTCCATAATAACGAGTGCAATACCGTAAATATAAACATGACGAGAGACAATGAAATCACAAATTATATATACTGAGACTGTTCCGTAAAGTCGCAATCGATGGGATTTCCTTCTAGCCATAGAGCTCTCTCGGACGCTGCGTCTGCAACTCTCATCAATTACTTGATTGCCGAGGTTAATGCCCTTCTCATAAGTGCGCATCATTTTTTCCAAACACTTTTTTTTTTAATTTTTCGCCGTCGATGTTAATCTGCTGTAAAGTGTTAAAACTTTTTTTATGGCTCCCGCACAAGGCCAAGCTCATTAGTTTCGATCATCAACTGACACACTGACACGTTTCCCCGCCCGAAGCGAGGAATTCCTTCCTAAATTATATAATATGAATGTCCCGAGACGACTTTTTTTATAGCTTTTGACTAATGGAATAGAATGGAAAATTTCTGGTTTTTGGTAGTCAAATATTATCTCTCACGTGTCACTAATTTTACCACCTGCGTCTGGGACAGAAGATTTATAAATTTGTCGGACAAAACTTCACTCTTGTTATTCAAAATGCGTCGTAGATTATTGTCTCAAGATATATATTCAAATCTTTTTCCTCTCTGAAGAGAACCAACTTCTTCTCTGACGCACTTAGTTATAGATGAACCTGCATCTCGGGGTTTTATTAGGGCCGTTTCTTCGCGGAAATTCCCCACAGCATTTTATTCTTTGAACTGGTCATAAAAAGGAAAAAATTCCCGATTTTTAAATTGATGATGGAATCACTGACCTATGCTTAGATGAATTTGAACAAATTAATTTATAAAAGATCAGCTAAGGCTTCATTTTCTTAATTATTTTGAATATTTATTCTTCTCAGTCCATACAAAAAATTGTAGCTATGAGAGATTTATAATTGAGTGGAAATATATATATATATATATATATATATATATATATATATGTAAAACTTTAAAATAAAAGTGGTAGAAACCAAGAATAATTTAATTTTTTCATTCTAAATGTATCTAATTATATGATTCGTAGGTTATTTAAGGACTTGTTATTAACATGATGGTCAAATCACGTCTTCTATTGTTGTTTATATTTGTCCTAATTGTTACATCACATTGTGTACATTCAAGTGGTAAAAACAATTTATTTGAAATGAAAGGAATTTTTGGACAAAATGCCTTTTGAATAACGGTGGTTAAAATTTCCAACTGATTTGCAATAATAGTCAAAATTGATCCCATTGTTGTAAAGACTGGATTTCTCTTTGTCAATAAGGAGATATATTTCTATTTGTTAAAATCATTTAAAAATAAAATGGCATATAATTTTTTTACATTAATTTTGCACTTTTGGCTTCAATTTTAACATAGAGATTGAGTGATTATAAAGAAAGGGAAAAAGAACTTTTACTGCTGCTAAAAAACCAGCTTTATTTAAAATAAAAGATCTAAATTATTCTTAAAAACAACTGCTGCCTCACTTATCTCAACAATAATCATTTTGATAACCCTTTTGTAATAAAAAAAACTACACCACTATTCCAGCTGCCAATTTTTTTTATGCAAATTTGCGATTACTCGTGGTCAATAAAATTAGATCAGTCGACGCCCGTGTCTGGAAATCCATTCACAAGACGCGCAGTGGCTCATAAAAAACCAACCACGACTGATTTCTATCTCTATTTATTGGTCGCATTATCTTATTATTGTCGGTTCAGTTGTTACTTTTATTACCCTGACGACGACACTTTCCTTCTAGCCAACCATAAATATATCTTAAATAGCGTACATACGAATTTTTAGGCGGCAAAAAATGGCAAGCCTTGGGTCGGAAAGTACTTAGTTTTGCGCCAGAACAAAACGCAGCCGTTTCATTCCTTGAAAGGCGAAATTCGCCTTGAGAGCTTTTCTTGTGATTTGCAGCAGCAAAAACGCTCGCCTTGTTGAATTCCAATGACCTGTATTATGGAGTGGCAGGTGCAAAAAAAAATAACATTTTATAATATCACCCAATTGAATGAACGATCCAAAAGATTTGAACAGTTTATGCTAGTTTTGTGGGTGGCCTGGAAATTATTGGAATTTGTTTATTTTAGAGCAAATTCGTATAATTGAGAAAAGTGCGGAAAGCAATTAATTTCTGCAAATAACTATTTTTAAATTCATTTCTGCTTCGAGACAACTAAAAGTATAATTTGCAGCACTTTGCCCCTTGTTAAAGTAAGTAGTGCAGACAGCGAAATCGCCACTGTTTTGCATAAACCTTGCCACGGGTGTTGTGATTAACTCGTACAACAGCACCGCGCTTTTTATATCGCGTGCCAGCAAAACAATTACATATATGATTTTTAAAAGCTCAACTTTCATATCGAGAGTTAACAATGAGCGTGTATTTTTTATGGTGTCTGACTTAACTCTTTTATCGCATTCTTTTTTTTTCAATTCAACTGTTTTACGATCAAGATCAAGTGCTTAATTATAAGTTTCATGAAGTTAAAATGAAAATAAATTCTAATAAATTCTTTAATTCTCTATCAATAAAGTGAATAAAGTCTTTGTGATTATTTAAATTTCAATTAAAACCAAGATTTATTTAGCTTCTAATAAAGTTTCTAAAGTTTATTTAAACTTCAATCAGAGTTAAAAATTCCAAGTTCAATTGATTACTTTGCAGCTATTTAAATTTATGGTACATTAAAGGAAGTTATTTATTTGAATAATTATTCATTATATGCTTGTTTATTAAGAATATCAACAAGTGCTTTTATAGATTCAATTTTTTCAGCAATTATTCCTAAAAATTTCATTTGGTTAAAGATTAAATTGTTGATTAAATTTCCAGCCAAGAGATTGATTTTAAAATACGAAATGAAAGAATCATAATTGTACAAAAAAGTTAAGTGCAAAAATATTAAATTAAAAACTTTCTTAATTTTATTTTCTTTAATGTAAGACAATCAAGTTGCAATTAAGTAGCACTTGAAATTTTCATAGAATAATAAAAAAAAATTATCTTATCAAACTGGTTTATCGTAAATTTACTTCCCTTCTCTTTGATATTTCGTCGACGCCTCTGTATTTTACTCGACGTTTCAATTTAAATCGCAATGCAATGTTATAAAAAACACAAAGCGTTTTAACCAAATTCCAGACTTTTTTTGCCAACTTCTCAATATGACGATCTCCTTGAATTTCGCGGAAAGCATGTTGAGCGATGGCATTTCTTTTTGCAATAAAACACGTTTACCACGTCATACATTGTTTTTTGCCTCCGCACCAGGCTAATTTATGCGGTTCGCTTTGTGACGAATAAAAAGTACGGCGAATTAATTACTGCAAAACGAGCATATAAAGTGGCATCGATCGATATCCAATACACCAGAATTTCAGAGCAGGTTTTTCTACAGGAAAAGTACACAAAATTGAATACACCCTTTTGCGTCATTCGGACAAAAAATTGTTCACCGCAGAAATTCATACAAAATCACATGATTTGAAACAACTTATCGAGCATGAGATCAAAATTTATTATCCTTTTAAACTGACTGAATTGGAAATAATGTTAATCCCACACACACGCTCTTAACCTTTTCGAAAGGAGATAAAGTGCAATTTATTGATCTACATAACGTGCACGCTCTTTTCGCTTGATTGGCTTGATTGACGTGAGCGCAATCAGCGGGGTTGCCCCAATCGCAATTGGTTCGGACAGGAAGACGCACCTCGGACGAGCCAATTTAAATTTATTAACGTGTTGACGGGCACAAGTTTGTTGTCAAATTGTGATTGATTCACTCAAGAGGAAAATAAATTTGTTATATTAAATAATCAACAGTAGCTTTGGGGTCAGTTTAATTTTGATATATTATTTTATAAACGCATTTTTTTTAAAATTAATTATTGGTACTTCAAAATTTAGTCAGTCAAAACATAAAAAGTAAATTTTTGGCCAATGAACGAGGAAATTAATTATTTAAAAATTTAAAGTAAAAAAAATGAAATTGTAATAAAGACAATAAAAATTTTAAAGGTGAAATCTATTTCTTTTCTAATTTTAAGTTACTTAATTAAATCTAGTTGTCTTGAGAACGGATAATTTTTAATTTTAGGACTCTTTGAGTTTGGTAAATTTCCATTTTTAAAATAAATTTACAAAAACTTGACTTCTCTTATTGTTTAGGTAAAAAATAAAAACAATGTCAGCAAAAAAGCTTGCATGAGTTGCATAAGTTTTTTTTATGTTCTTCCTCTGCGTCCTGACTGCTGTTTGAAAAATGAAAGGGTCGATGGTTTGCATCATGAGTTGGCAATTTCGCAGCACCCACGAAAATTCGATCAATCCAAAATCCAAGGAGAGCAGCAGCGGAATATAATTGACTTTAACCGCATTACTGAATTCCAACTCATGGCCTCTCTGCTGGGGTCTCTCGTAAATTAAAGAACGCGCTTTTTAAAGGAATTATCGGAGGTAAAAAATGGCAAGGTCCGGTCGGATATCCTGATTGGAACATTTTTTCATCCAAAGTTTGGCCCCGCCGGAGGTGACTACCAATGACCTGCCACCGTTTTGAACGAACTGAATTAATCTCGCTCGCTCTATACTTTACTTTTAATAGTAATGATGGCGATTCCGTTAAAAAATCCAACGAAAAACGATGAAAAAAAGTACTAGCAAGGCCAACATCTTGCCCAACGTGCGCGACACCTCGAAAGATTTTTTGCAAAAAGTTTTGACTCAGCAAGGTGACCCACAAGAGAACTCAAGGAAATCCGATCTTGTACGCGTTTAATTTTTTTATTTGAATTTTAATTAGCCGCTTGATTTCCAGACTGAAGTTGAATAATATTGTCTCATCCAGAAATCGGATCACATCTCTTGTTTGCACTGAAATAAAAAAAAATAGATGAAGTTTGTTTGTTCAAAAAGGAAATGGTGTAGATAAGATTAGCTCACGATCGTCCCTTGCGCTATCAGCGTGACCACTTTGCTGCGGTTGTTTTCGTCCGGCTTTGAATAGGAAACTCCCAGGTTTTTTTCTCAATGTAATCAATTTGGGTAATAGTAAACGCGTGTTAAGGTGAACTGGTAAAGTCTACAACATTTTCTGAACAACGCCCATTTAATTCGATTAATGTTATTCTAAATTAATCAATTAACAAGGTTTTGCATGAGATGGCCAAACCATTTTTTTTTTGTCACCGCATTCACCGACCTGAATCATTAAATTTTAGAGGCTTAAAAAAAATACACAGACCGCAGCTCGCCTGCAGGGACACTTTTTATGTACGGCGAAACGAAGCGTTTCGCTTTCCTTAATTTTATTATTTTCGCGCCTATACCAGAAAATGTAGTGGCGCAATTTCATTCTTAGTATTCTCGCCATGCTCAATTAGAATTTTCTGTTGTCACAAAAGCGCATTCACCTTGGAATTGAAATGATTCTTATTGCTTTTTTGCGCACCGGCGCTTGTCAGTTCGCCTGCCCGTGACAAGTGAAAGAATATGCGCGAAAACGGTGGCACGAATTCCACTTTTTAATTCTCGGCCTTAAATTGTATTCTTCTCAATGATAAACCCACAACAATGTGTCGCATTAATCTGGCAATTTTGTTCACTTTGCAGTCGAGACATGGGGTCCATCCCTGAGTTCTCGATCCTGAAGGGCGACAGGCAGACCCTGCCGACGGGCCCTGATTACCTGCTGCACCGACTGTTCGAAAGAAGCGCCGCCGCCAACATTTGCAAGCCGGCTTTGTTCTCGGAAACGGACGCCGCCAGCCCGACTCACACCTTCGCACAACTGGACGCTTTGTCCTCCAGACTCGCCCGCGTCCTGCTCAACCAGCTGCACCGTCTGAAGGCTGAGCCCAATGCCGACGGAGACTTCATTGTTGGGGTAAAACTAAAATTATAATTGTTATAGATGCTATAGACGGGCGAAAAAAACTTTGATTTTGCTCCTGATCCTAAAAGTCGCTATTTAGATTCTGGTTCAAAATGAACTTTCTATTGAATTGTTTAACAGTGTGAATTTTACTTTTAATTTACTGTAAATTATTTACTTCCGACTGTTTTTTAATAAGTAACTTTACCTGGGCATTAACTCTTTTTCGTCAATTTTAACATGTTTATTAAATTCATGGATTTTTTACAATTTTTTTTTCAGGTGAGTTTGTCTCCCGGCGCCCCTTTGGTGGCCACACTTCTGGCCGTGTGGAAGATGGGCGCCGCTTACATGCCCGTCGAGCCCAGCGTCCCCATTCAAAGGGCCGCACACATTTTGGCCGACTCGAAGCCCCTCTTCGTGGTCGGCGAGACGAGAGCCCTGACCGAGTATGCCAACGTCCTTCTCTACCAGGACCTTTTGAACCTCTCCCAAGAACAAGTGGCCAACGCCATTCCAGACACAGTAAGAAAATTATTAAAAATAACAAAACTGAAAAATTAAAATTTTCTTTAATTGGTTTCCAATTCTCTGTCTTTCATCAAATAAAAATGTTAAATATTAAGTTGGAAAAGATAATTGCTAATTTAAGAAATTATTTGATAACTTTCATTTTTTTTTGCATTATTTCTTTTTGTTTTCCTCATTTATTTATTTATTCATGTGTATTATTTATGAGACATTTTTGAACAAAAATAAGTAAAAAGCAAAGTAACTTTCGCAATCTTAGGAATGTGTTCCGTGTGCGACGAACAAAGAGCCGCTGGCCGCCGTGCTGTACACCTCGGGAAGCACCGGAGCCCCCAAAGGAGTCCGTCTTTCGCACCGAGCTGTGCTGAATCGCCTCCAGTGGCAGTGGCGCGTCTTCCCCTTTGCTGAAGATGAGCAGAGTTGCGTCTTCAAAACCGCCCTCAGCTTTGTGGACTCGGTCGGAGAAATGTTTGCTCCGTTGCTGCAGGGCAGGGCGCTGGTCACTGTGCCGCGATGCACCGTCGGAAACCCCGAAAAGCTGGCCGAAGTCCTCGCTCTACACCAGGTAGGGGTTTTAATCAATTTCATATTTAAAATATTTTCTTTAAAAGAATAAAATCTTTTATTAATATCATGGTTTTGTTGAAAACTCATTTAAATATAAAACAAAACTTTAGCTTAAATAATTAGCCTTAAAATTTACAAATAATTTTGAATATTTTGTTACAAGGATTTCATTAAATTTGAAAATTTAGACTCGAAAATTTTCTATTTATTTTCATTTAGGTGAGAAGACTGGTGTTGGTGCCTTCGCTGCTGCGCGCTCTTCTGCTCGTGGCTCGGGAGCGGCCAAAGCTGCTCAACGGGCTGCGTCTGTGGGTTTGCAGCGGAGAGGAGCTGCATCTGGAGTTGGCCAGAGACTTCTTCTCCGCCTTCCCCAGTGGCTCGCACTTGGCCAATTTCTACGGGAGCACAGAGGTCATGGGCGACGTCACTTATTTCCTCTTCAGAGACCCCAACGATGTCGAGTGGGTCAAGCAGAGCGAGGCCAGAGTCCCAATTGGTCAGTCCTTTATTAATCTTTAAAATATCATTTTTAATTTTGTTGCAATTTTTACCTCTTCACCGTAAAAGTAAAATCATTTTCAATTCTCCGAATACCTCAATTAAAATTTCTTTAAACGTTAATTTTCGTCTCTTTTATGCCTTTTTTATTTGTGTAATTAGGCATCCCAGTTGAAAACACAATCATCTACCTGCTTGACAAGCAGTTCCGACCGGTCCTGGCCGGAGAGCAAGGTGAGGTTTTTGTCGCCGGTCTGAACGTTGCCAATGGCTACGTGAACAACAGAGATCCTACCAAGTTCGTTCCCAACCCTTTTGCCACAGACCACGCAGGTAAGCTTAAAATAATTCACAAAAAAGCTATTATTTAAATAAAATTTATTTTTTAAATTTAAAATTTTCTTCAGTTTACAGCACGTTGTACCACACTGGCGATTTCGGTCGCATCGTCAAGGGCAATTTGGTGTACGAAGGACGCGCCGACTCGCAAATAAAAGTGCGCGGGCACCGCGTCGACCTGTCTGAAATCCAGAAAGCCGTCCAGGCAGTTCCTGGCCTTGACAAGGTCATCGTCCTGTGCTACCAACCAGGCAGACCTGAGCAGGTTAGTTTTCAATTTTTATTTATTAACTGGAAGCGAAAAGAGCAAAACGATTTTATATCTTGATATTGCGGTCTCGCCTCGAAATTCAATCGGCCGCAACCTTTTCCTTTCTAATAATCCGAGTGCTCTAATGATCGACTCTGAGATTAACCATTTTTTTTCCTCTTTTTTTTGCGAAGGTCCCTCTTCTAGAGAGGGCAATGATTAATGAATGATCTGCCCTCATTTGTTGAACCACATCAAATTGTGCCCGCAGAGCAATTTGGTTTTATGTTTTGCCATTAATCAGCAAAATCTTTATTATTCCTCGCAAACCTTTAAGTACATAATATGACCTAGCGCTGTTATTTAGCAACACATTAATCTCGTCAAGTGTGCTTTCATTTGCATCCTACGGCGCAGTGCTTGTGACGGCTCTCGCCACACAAATTAAGCAATTCAATGGTGGAAAAACGTGTAGACCTTTTATTAGATACGCACTAGTTGTTCATATTGTTGCACAAATAGTGATTAAAATGTTAAAGAGTGTGTTAAGTGCAAAATTAGCATTTCTTGGCTAATTTAAAACATCCAAAGCATCGCTCATAAAAGTTGACACAACCTATAAAATTTGATTTCTGTAGCTTTAAAAAAACTGGTACCCTAAAAAGTATCCTTTTAATCATAAAAATATCATAAAATCCTTTTCCTCAACAATAAACCCTGGAAATTATCTTGGCCTTTTATTTTTTCCCTCGCGCAAAAAAAGTTATCAGGAGCTAAATCATTAAATTTTTAAATAATTTTGCCTTTTTTTCTTGGAAGAAATAAATTTTTTGTGATGTCTTATCAGAGAATGAACAATTGTTTGCAGGCGGTGTTGGCGTTTGTGACCATGGCTGCCGGATCCTGCATGTCCACCCAGCAGATTGAAGCCAGTTTGCAAAGGAGCCTCGCTTCATACATGATGCCTCAGGTGAGTTCTTCCTGCACCAAAATTAAATATTCAATCAGATTTCCTCACAAAATGATGAAATTAATTAAACGAATCCCCACTTTGGATCTGAAGTTGCAAAGTGCGTATTTATTACTTTTGTTCTATAAACAAAACATATTATTTTGCCCCCAGCCTAGACATTGATTTCAAGTTGTTTATTCTTGTTAATTACAATTGTGAAACCTTGACTCGAAAAATTAATTTTCGTCTCTCTTTTTCGCAATAATTTGAATATTTTGGTGTCATGGATTTTCAACAAGAAAATATGTTTCGGAGTTAAAAAAAAAAATATCTGATTTTACTCATGTGATTTTTATCTCAAGAACAGCAGTTTAATTAGGGTGGCGAAAGTCATTCTAATTTATTACCACAGAGCTGAATTTTAATAATGATTGTGGATAAAATCTGAACCGCGAGCACGTGATGTCCGTATTCGTAATGCGCTTATTATTTTCAATTTTTTTGTTGGAACGCAGGAGAGAATAACTTGAAACCAGTCTTGTCTAAATTAATATCAAAGAAAGAAAAAAATTTCAATCATTGACGTCAGAGACTGTGACCGAACAGAGCCACCAAAACTAATTATTTTTAATTGACACTAATTACCCAGTGATTTTTCTCACGTGATTTTTATACTCGCTTTCAATTCAAGGTAATCATTTTTTATATTAAATTTAAAATGTCTTAATCTTTCAGATAATTATTCTTGAAAACTTTCCTCTTCTCGTAAATGGAAAAATTGACAGACAACTCCTGCTGAGAAACTATGAGCAAAAGCAAGGTAATTCTGGGAGTTTGAAGCATAGAACAATTTTTTTTAAATCTTTATTTTCTTTTAATTTTATAGAAGAAAATGGTTCAATAAACGTTCTGCTAGACCTAAGTTCCTGCCCCGAACATCACAAAGAAGCTGCACAGGCTTTGCTCGAGACTGTCAAATCGGTTCTCGGAGGCTCCTTGAAAACGAATGTGCTCACTCTGGACGCCAATTTCTACCAAATGGGAGGAAACTCCCTCAATTCTGTCTTCACTGTAACCAAACTACGGGACCAGGGCTTTAATATTGGTAAAAATCAAAACATTTATTTGAATTTTTAATTTTTTAATTTAATAATCTTTATATTAGGCATCAGCGATTTCATTGCCGCCGCCAATCTGGGGGAAGTTGTTGAAAAAATGGGGCCCAGGAAAGTGGCATTAGACGTTGAGATGGACAAAGAAAATCGTTTCCCACAATACACAGCGCACATGCTAACACCAGAGCACAAGGACAGCGTCTTCAGGTAAAAATTTATGTGAATTTAAAGCGCCAATAAAACCTGTTCAACACTTACTTAATTCGGTGGCGCTAAAATTGTCTCATGAATTTACGCAGGATGATCGTGGAGAGTTTCTACCAAAAAGCCGACATTGAAAAATGGTTACGGCCACAGCTGCAGAGGAGCGACTACGAGATGCTAATCCAGGCCATATGGAAACCAGTTGTTGAGAAAAATCTCAGGTAAAACGTGACAAAATAAGAAAAAAAATTAAGTTGTTCCAATTATCACGTGCAAAAATTCGAAAATCAAGTTTTACTTCCTCATTGTGCATTATTAAAAGCAATACCAGTTTAAAAAAAATAAATAAGTAGTCTACTTTTTTTTAAACCGGGCAATTATGCTTTCAGCTTTTTGGTGAAGGACAAAGATGGGCGTGATGTCGGCGCTGCCTTAAATTTCGATGTTTACGACGAGCCAGACGTTGACATTGACAGCAGGCTAATGATTGTGTTTGAGTTTCTCGAATCCGTCGAGGTGCAAGTCAGGTAAATAAACTCATCGATTTATAATATTTATCAATCATAACAAGTTTCACTTTCAGCCTAAATGAAAGTGGTTTATTTCAATACCAAAACTTTGCATGAAAAAAAATGAATTAATAGTAATTAATGGAAAGCTCATTGATTTGTATTTTTTATATAATTGATTTATTAATCACTTTTACATAAATTACTGAGAACGTCTTCTTTAATTGCAGAGAAAAGGTTCTGCCGAAGGGCAAAGGGAAAGTGGTGCACAGCTTCATGATGGGCACTGAACCTGCATTGAGCGCCGCTGAAAACGTCGATGTCATTGCGTTCATGGAGGAGGAGGTTCTGAGACTGGCGCGCAGACGGTCCTTCAAGGGAATCTTCACAACAAACACCAGTCCACTCACGCAGGTGAGAATTCATTTTTGATAAAGAGTGAAAAAGAAAATTTGATTGAAAAATTCTTTGCAGCAACTGGGCTCAGACATCTTTGGCTACGAACCCCTTCTTGAATACCAAGTCAACAAATTTGTGGCTGCCGACGGGTCAATGCCCTTCAAAGAGGCTCCAGACTGGCAAATGGCCGTGTCGTGCTGGAAAAAAGTGTGAAATTTTAAAAGCGTTTTTATTTAATTGACGACTTTAATATTAATTTAGAGAGTACACATGACGTATAATTTTAGAGAAATCATATGTTAATTTAAGCCTCATTTGTGTGTTTCATTGTCACATTAGTTAGCATATCGATTGCACAGTTATTGACGTTTTTCAAATGTAAATAAAAACTATTATGTTTTATTGAAATAAAGATTGAAATAGTTTGTACAAAGAAATAAAGATTGCAGATCATTGAAACGAAATATTTTATAATGTATTTATTTATATACCTGCATTAAAATTGTTAACGCAGTGGGATAAATTTAAATAAAAATTAGTAGAATAAAAAAAATAAAATAATATTTGTCCATTATAATTTACCAAGTTTTAAACGATTAAAATTGCAAATGATTTTAGATTTAGAAAAAAATTATTACATACCTTTAAGAGGTTTGTTGAATTTTAAGAAAATTTAAAACAAATTTCTTTAAAACAGAAATATATTTTGACAAAAATTGGTTCATCACTTGAACAGTCAAAATTAAAAACGATTGATACTCGTAAATTGTAAAATTAGTGTCAATTCCTATTTTTATTTCACTGTCCCAGATTCTAAGCAAAAGGATTGCGCATGGAAAAAACGCCAAACTTTTGAATTTTAGGCGAATCAGCCGAGATACCGTTTCTGATTGGCCGTCCGCCGCTTCTTTCAGCCAATCACAGACGCGGAAATTTTGTAAACAAAGATTCTCCTCGCCAGTGTTTATCTTCTTAAGTTTTATCAAATTTTAACTAATTTATGGTCTGTCAAAGCCCAAGAAGTATTTTCAATTTGGTAGTTAATCATATTTCTAAAGAAAATTTCCGTTTAAAGTGAAGAAAAGATTAGAAAAATAGAAGTTTTCGAATAAAATTGGCACGGACAGCCTTAGAAATGGAAGATTTCCCGGATTTTCTGCAGAAAATAACTCACAGCGGTGAGAAAAAACTTGATCAGGAAAAATTGAAGAAATTGGACGAGCTTGTAGGGTGAGTTTTAATATTTTTCCATCTCAGAGACGCTTTTTAATTAAGATAAAAATTTGTTAACAGGTTGTCAGCAAAGAATTGTAAACAGAGCTACCAGCACATAATGAAACATTTGGAAAAGAAACACTCGGAAGTGCGCTACAGCACTCTTCTTGTGTGTGACCACTTAGTAAGGTTTGCATTTTAATTTTAAAAAGACTAAATTTAATTGAAAATACTAAAAAAAATACGTATTTAGGTCCAGTAAAGTCTTCCGCACTTGCCTGATCGGAGAAGACTTGACCACTTTCCTTGAGCTCACCATGGGAATCAACAAATCAAGACCGTTGCCACCTCCGAAAAGTGTGGCCAAAGAACTTCGCAACAAAGCAATATCCGTGATTTACAAGTGGCACGAGGACTTCGGCAAATCCTTCGTGGAACTTTCAAACGCTTATTTTTTCCTCAAAGACTGCTACAAGGCAACTAAAATTAATTATTTATTTTGAGATTCTAATTTCAATGATGCAGGTTGATTTCAAAGCCATTGAGAAGGAACAGGCCGCGGAGAAAATTAAGGCTGAATTAGAGCAAAGACGGGCAGTTGCGAAAAAAGAGGACAGATTGAAAAAGGCACTGAATGAGTTCAAAAGTATTCAAAAATGTCTTGTTGATTTTAGAGGTAAATTATGAATTTGATATTTTTAGACTTCTTCGACGAAGCTCAAAGTTTGTGCACCGAACTAGACAATTGCATTTCTCTTTTGGTTCCTACTCCGGAAGACTTTTTCCTTCCTGTGAGCAAAGACGGGGCCATAAGCTCTGATGCAGGACCAAGTTCTGAAAATATATCTTTGAGAGCACACGGAGTCGTTACTGCTGGAATATCAATTCCACTTCAAGTGAAAAGGAGTAAATAAAAATAAAAATTATTAGCTTTTCTTTGTTAATTCTCTTTTATTCAATTTTAATTACAGATATTCCAAAGTTGGTGATCAACGAGGACAATCAGCCCATCGTAGAAAGTGCCCGAGATATTCACAGTCAGTTGTCGAAAAATCACATAAAAAGGATTGCATTTTTGACTGAGGTCTTTGCTGATGAGAAAGGTTTATAATTTTTTTAATATTTCTCTTTATTAATTAATAAAATTTATAGACCATGCTGGAAAATATCAAACTTGTAAGCTCTTGAATGAGCAGCTAAAAAGGTGCTTAGCTCAGTACGAAGAGCTAGGATTGAAGAGAAAGAAGAGAAGCAGCTCAGGTATTATTTACGAATTATTCTTTTAATTTTGTTTTCATTTCATTTTTAATCTAATTTTTAGTGAGTAGCGATGAAGATGATTTTGAAGAGGTTGAGCCAAAAGAGGGCTACGAAGAAAAAGTCAAAGAAGATCTTTTGACGCACATGGTCACTGCTAAACCAAAAGTAGAAGTTCAAAGGAAAAAATCTGCAGATGTAAAGATCGTTGAGAGGAAGGAAATTAAGCCTGTGAAGAATATGCCAAAGAACATCGAGGACTGGGAGAAAAAGAATATGGAACTGCCACCAGTGATTGTGGGGTTTGTTAATATTTTCTTTTTAATCAAGATGTATTTCAATTAATTTGAGTGTGTTTAAGGAAAAAGGGATTTCAATTTAATTCGTTATTGATTTCATTAAATTAAATTGTTTTAAAACTTTTACTCAAATTAAGCTTGGCAATGGATCCCAATCTTTGGGAACAAATTTGTGAAGAATTAATTCACGATAGTTATTTCATATTTTAAATTTTCCCAGCATCCGTCCAGACAACAGTCAGGTTTGGATCGGACCCTCTGTTGAAGACGATGAAGTCAAAGTGCCAGTCATTGAGAGCTGCCCTGTCGAATACTCGAGTGCCTTTGAACCAGTGAAGTGGGCGTGCCGAGCTCCTCTACCGAATGGATCGTTATGTCCAAGGAAAGACCGAGTGAAGGTTTTTTAAAATTTAATTTAAAAAGAAATATTCAATTTAACAACATGAAATCTAAAGTGTCCATTCCATGGGAAAATCTTACCTCGAGATGATCAGGGAAGATGTACCCGGGAGGAGGATGCCAAAGCAGAGGAAGAAAGAAAAGAGCAGCAACTGCGAGATCACCCTGAGTGGCAGGATCCAAAACTTCTTGCAGAGCTCAAGGTTTGTTTTAATAGAGTTAAGTTTATAAGATTTATTTATATAAGTGAAAAATAGAGAACTACTGGAATTGATTTGGAAATGCCAAAGAAGGGCAAGAGAAAGAAAAAGGCACCTGAGTTTCCAGGCCTTACTGACATCTCTGCCAAAAAGGACAGCCCTCGAAAAAGACTAGCCCGAAAAGTCCTAACGAAGTAAATTATTTTTAAATTTAAATCATTCGATCCAATTTAAAGTTGCAAATTGCTGCAGATCCGAGCTGAGGCAGCTGAAGTCAAGACTGGACATTGATAGGGAAGACAGAAGAGAGCAAGAATTCTACTTGAGCTCCGAGGAATCAACGGACTGATTTAGCAATAGCAAGGTAACTATTTATATGTCTAGTGAGTAAGAAAACACAAAAACTTTCGCTTCAACTTTCTTTCGACTCTGTCTAAATTAAAACTTACATCCTTTTTATTGGTATCACCCAGCAAGCGAACTTCTACAAACTCGTTAAAATTAAGAATTAAATAAAGTAGTCATCATATTCTCTCAGCGCGCGCAAGTAGTAAAACTTAAACTCTAAACATTCACTTTTATGGCAACCGTTCCTGCTCTTCTTATTCACTAGGGGCACTTCTGGCGCGGAAGTGTGGGCCTGGTTTCCTGCCAGCGCGCTTTTTGATCAACGAGCTGACCAGACTCTCAGTTGTCTGCGGCTCGGGGGCGGCCGTGGAGGCAGTCGTGGCGGCCACGGGCGCCGCCTCGGCCTCTTGGCTCGGCTCCTCCTCGCTGTTGGTGGCGCCGACCTCGCTTTCCGTCGACGCCTTGGGCTCGGCGGTGGTCGCGGCCAGAGGGCTGGGCCTCCTGGGCCTGGCCAGCAGCTGCCTCCTGCTCACTGGGCTCTGCTGCACCGGGGACGCTTTGCGCGGCTTCTCGGTCACCAACAGGTTCGGCCTTTTGCGGAGGCGGTTCAGCCCTGTGGGGGCGGCGGTCGTGGCGTTCTGCGCTTGGCTACTTTCGTCCTGAAATTAATTTATATTACAAATAAATAAAGATAAATAAATAAGTTTTAATTATTGTAAAAAATCTACCTGTGGAGGTTGGGCAGCTTCTGCTGAGGTTTCGGCTGCAACTTCGGGGGCAGGGACTTCCTCATTAGCCTGCTCACTTGAAGCGGGAGCGGCTGTGGTAGACTGAACTTGTCCAGGTCTGTTTCTATTTCTCAGAAGGAGGGGAGATCTGGGCCTAGATTTAAAATTTTTATAAATTATAAAAGGAATATTTAAGTAGATTTAATTATTTTAATTCTATTTAAATACGGACCTGTTGGCAAGGATTCTGGGCTTTTGTGTGGTGCTGGTTGAGGTGGTGGAAACGGAGGGCTGCAGTTCGACATTAATGGGCTCTCCCTCGACGTGAGCTTCTTCTCCAGCTTCCGCAGGTGCAGCCGTGGTTGTCCTGCTGGGAGGTCCCCTCCGTCTTGGGAAGCTGGGCCTCTGGATGGCGTTTTTGATGCTGTTTGTCCTGGTCTTGGAGGCAAAACTGGGGGCGGCGTTCGCAACCGGGGAAGCGCTGTCCTTGACGACCTCTTCTTCGGAGGGAGCAGTGGTGGACAGGGAGGAGGCGTAACCTCGCTGGCGAGGCCTGTTCCTGGTGCTGAGCAACTTGTTGCTTTCCCTAGTCTTGGTCTCGGGAGCGGCGGTCGACGTAGCTTCGGCAACAACTGGCTTCCTGGCCCTGGACCTGTCAAGGTGGCCGGGCTGTTTCCTGATCGAAGAACCTGCACCTGGTCTGATGCGTCCTCTGGTGCGACCTTCGGTGGTGGAAGGAGCTTCAGTGGTTGTGGTGGTGGTGGTTGTTGTAGAGGAGGGGAGAGCTTCAGTCACGGGGAGGGTGGTGAGTTCTTCTTCAATTTGCTGAGTGGTAATTTCGTCATTCTGGGCAGGTTCGATGACTTCATTGGCCCTGAATTTTTAAAATTTGTCTTAATATTTGGCCAATCTTTCATCCAATAAATTAGTTCCCAATAAAATTTAAATAATTTACGTACCTCTGGTCATCAGCATTCTGAATGGTGGCGTAAAGAGCGGCCAAATCGTAGGCAGCCTTGTGAGGTCTGTCAGTTGAAGGGGGATCGGTGGCTGGGACTTCCGGGGCCGCAGTGGTGGTGGTGGTGGTGGTAGAAGTGGTCGTTGTGGTGGTTGATCGGACGCGAGTCTTGGCAGGAGGAACGAAAGTTTCCTCTGCCTCGGCGGTGAACCTGTTTCCGCCGCTGGTCGAGTCGGCGGGGGCTGCGGCGCCGGTCCTGAAGGAATTGCTGTCCACCAACTCGAGGCTGGGGCGCACGCGGCCAGGGGCGTTGGGTTCTACGCCGGGAATGGCGCGAGGAGGGAACCTGGTGACCACGGGCAGTCGCTCCTCTTCCGGCTCTTCAGGTGCAGAAGTAGCGAACTGTCTTCCAGAGTGCCTGTTTTAATAAAAAGCATAATTTAATACTTCCGTTGACAATAAAAAAAATAAAATAAAAATACATAAGTCAAGTATAATTTTCAGTCATTCAAATAAAAAAATTAAAAATCTCCTATTCTTTTATTAAACTTTTTTGTTTTAGATTTCAAAAAGATGATATTAATAAATTTAAATGCAAAATGATTCACTTTTAAAGTGCTTTTTCTTTTCATTTAATTTTAGTGTTTTTTTTCTTATTTTAAAATTTTCAATCCTACCTGACTGGAGCGTTAATTTCGTTGACGAAAGGAACTTCAGTTTGGTATTCGACGGGCTCGGCACGGTGCTGTCCCCTTCCCCTATTGATGGTGGTGTAGCGACCTTCCTCCTTTTTAGAGGGGATGTCCTCGGGGATAGCCTCGGTGGGCAAATATCTGTTCCTGTAGCCAGCAGTGGTGGGTGCCGCGGTCGTGGTGGTGGTGGTTGTCGTCGTTGAAGACAATTCGACAGGCTTGGTCAAATCCTCTTCCAGATCAACACTCTCTGAAAAATTGACATTATTTAAAATTGAAATTTTTAATAATTTTCAAATCTGACCTCCTTCGGGGTTTTCTTCGTCGTCGTAGTAGTAAATGTATTCGTACTCGTACTCCTGGCCATTGGGAGCCTTTTTCACATTGACTCTGGACGACTGGGTTTGCGATCCGGCGGTTTCCAAAGGCAGATGACTGCTCGAGCCTTTGGCAATGATGTCGTGTCCTTCGGAGGGCTTGCGAGATCCGCTGGACAGGATGTTGAATGGAGGAAGGTCGGTCAGGTGTGCGACGGCAGCAGTGTGTTGAGACTTGTCACTAAAATACAAAACAAAAAATTAATATTTTAAACACTCTTCTACTTTCATGAAAAGTTTATTCTATAATTTTGTATTTTTCCACCAATTAACTTATTCGCAACTGAAATAATTAATTAATTGAAATTTTTCAAGTAACTTTTCTTTAAAACATATATTCCCAAAATGGAACAACTTTATATTTAAAGGAAAACGAAATTAACTTACATGCTCTGGAATTTTCCAGCAGGCACGGTGAAGGAGTCTCCGCGCTTGCCCTCGAAGGTGGGCCTGTTCAAAAGGCCGATTTCGGCCTCGGATTTGAACTCGACCACTTCGCTAGCCGCGTGCTCCCTATTGTGACTAGTCTCAAATTTGTCAGCGTTGGAAGGAACGATCTGGACATTTTCCATCTTCTTGTGCTGCTCCTGCTTGATTATTCTGCCGTTGATGTGCATTTCCTTGCTGATGACCACCGAAACCTCGGTTTGCACCTCAACAGTTTCCTTGATAATTAAATATATTAAAACTTTTGTTTCAAATTAAATATTTTGTCAACAACCTTGGGCGCATCGGTGTTGGCGATGGCGTCGGTTTGGAAAGTGGTGGGTCCTGTAGTTTCTTGTTCCGTGTTGGTAGTCAGAGGGGCTGCGGTTGTGGCGTTGTTGACAAAGACGTTGAGATTGCGGCCCGAGGGGCCCAGAGAAGCTTTGAAATGGACATACTCTTCTCCGGGTCTGGGCTCGGTGATCAGCTCGACCTCCGGGGCGGCGACCACGGCGTGCAGACAGCCCCACAGGAGGAACCTGAGAAAAGAAAAGCAAAAATTAAATTATTTTAATTCGGAACTTAACTTTTGAAAATTAACAAAAATTCACTAAAAGCCCAAAATTCTCAATTCTTCTTAACTAAAATTGAGTTTCTAGAATCATCTCAAATTATGTAGCGTTGATAATTTCAACTATTTTTTAAGTAAAAGAAAAACCTTGTTTTGAGATTTTTCACCTGTTCTTTTAATTATCAAATTTTGCATGTAATCATTTATTCCCAGAAAATAGCAAAATGCTCTTTAAAAATAATGAATAATTCAACTAAAAATATAAAAATATTGTTTTGTTTGTATAAATATTTTCTAAATAAATCACCTAATTTTACTATAAATATAATATTTGGCTATTTCTCAATGAAATCACCTGCTATACTTTCAATTGAAAACTTTCCATTCCTGTTTGTAATTGCCAATGCAAATGAGCTCGAATGGTAAATTTGACGCGGCCTACATTTGACCCTTCCTTTTTACAATCAATTTTAAAACGTAAAAATAAATAAGCCTTTTCATCCAAATAAACCAAAAATGTAGAGTGAAAACACGTCCGTAGATACATTTATAATTGGATGGAATTGATTGCATGAAAACTAGACACGCACTCATCAGACAAATCCGACTGCGCGGAGAGAAATTGAATAGATCTCTGCGGTCGGAATTTCCCAAACAATCGAGCATGGATCGAAATGCACGTGGCTCATTTTTCTTAATTAATCGCGTCTGTCATATTTTATTGGCTATATTTGTGTCGACGGTGCGAGAGAACGGCAGCACTTTCTTTCACAGCTGATCCCTCTGATTTACGGAGGATTAATCTCTCTCTCTCTCTCCGCGACTTAAGTGGTCACCCGCGGCCTGCCCACGAAAGGAGCGAACGAACTTTCGCTCACAATAAAAATGAAAGGCTTTCTGGCTAAAAGACACGCGGCCGATTTTCAACCTGAAGGCCAAGTTCAAGGTTAACGGCGTCGGAGGAAAAAGTGAAATTCTGCGAGGTATTTTTTTTAATACTTGCTGCGTGGATAATTTTATTAGACACGCACAGATTGAGCTCATTAAAGGAATGAAAAATTTTGCGTGTTCTAAAACCGGCACCAAAAGTGAGGCAAACGGAACTGTAATTAATTATATCCCTCGTTTTCTTTTTCATCATAAATCATAACGATGGGTTATTTATTTACAATTTTTTTTAAATTAAATATTCATCTCGTTAAACAAATCGGATTAACATTCGTATACGGTTGAGTGAAAAGTCAAGACCGTCCGCTTTCGATTTGCTGTGGGAAAAGCAAAACGAAAAACCCATGAGGTCGTCCTTTGGAGAAACACAGACTGGTTCTCACATAAGAATTACCATCTCGTTGCATGTACATTTTATTACGCGCACAGTGACCTAACAATATAGTATGATTAAAATTATGTCTTTCTCTGCTCATTGTCGGAGAAAGGCGCAAATACGCCAGTTAGTTAATAGTGCGCTCAGCCGACAATTTTCTAAAATAATCACGGTGTTGAAACATCTTTGATGATTCGCAATAATTTCCTGTCCGACCTCGAGGCTGCAAATGACATGATTTGGTAAAACACGTTCCACTGACCTTTCAGGGACTACTTTTAATGAGACCTTAAATAGTTCTTTTACAATAATTATAATTAAAATTTTGTGCTCACCTCTCACATTTCAAAGGACAGACTAATAATTTCTTAACCGTTTTTTTCCAACAAATAAATATTCAATTGAGAAATAAAAATAAAACAATGATTTCAACAATTAAAAATAATAATTTCAAGTCTATTTTGCTCCGAACTTATGATTGCGCTAAAATTTAAAATTCAACTTGCTGAGCACAATAAAAATTGCATAACCCAGGAAGTCTTTTCATTCTTTTCACGCCAAAGAGACCGTATATGGCCCAACGCCTCTCTCTGTGTTATTCTTAAATGTCTCATCACATAATATATATTTTTTTTCAGACGGGTTGCAAATGCCAAATTAAACGAAACGCGCCGCCCGGTGAATGTGCTGCACGCTGCTGGGAATTGGGACGACGCGATGCCACTGACAATGAGCTGCGTTTCTTGCCTCACACAATACAATTAAAATTCGTAGGTGTCACTCAATTTGCTGCTCGTTTGGCACGCACAATCAACGCGTCTTTGCCAAGTCAGCAGATCAAAATTTGGCACAGTTTTATCAGAGGAAAATTACCCGTTTCTTTCCAAGATGTTGCTTCTGAATTATGTTCCAAATCAAGCAGGAAAAGCTCAAAATTGAAGAAAATTGAATGAAAAATGAAAAAAAATGAGGTTTTATTTGGAATGTTTTAAATTAAAATTTAATGCCCAAATAAAATATAAAAATGTCAACATCTGAAATTTATTGATACCTCTTTTAGAACTTTCCTTTTCTACAAGACAAACTTTTCCTCTTCCACGCTTATTTGCATGTGAATGCACCTCAAATGTTACTCAATCAATTGAATAATGGGTTATAGAAAATTCTCCGAGTCACGCCCTAAGAAGGCATTTTTCTTCTCCTGTCGCTTTGTTTTCAGGGGTCGCCTGCATCAGACGAGGTGTCAAGTCTCTTTCTTCTTGACGCCCAAAAGATATATTCGAAGGCGACAAATTTATAATTTTGCTGCGCTGGCACCTGTCCAGCCCAGGATGAGAGCGTGCATTTCCAAAGAAAGGTTGGTATGGAAATACATCCAATAAGAGAGAGTGAGAAAGGGTGTGAAGATCCTAGCAAGAGATTGACCTACTCAGATCACTTTCTACACTCGCAACCACTTCTTCTTCTTCTCCTCCTCATCGCCGAACACAATCGGCCGCACAGACACATTCACCTTGCTGAAATTCCACTTTGCAAAACGCGCTCTCAGCAGAAAGAATTAGCGAACGGAACTCGCCAAGTAATTGAGTTGCGAAATTTCGCACGCGCTCGAGTATGATGCCAGTTAGGGTGTTACACGCAAAAATGTCTTCAATTTTTTTTTTCAAACTCTGGTGAAATAATGTGAAAGTAAATAATGCGGTTGGATCAGCGAAATTTTTTCCTTCACTATTGCTTTTTTCATAATTAAATTTTATTATTCAAAAAATAATTTGGAAATTTCGCTTGGTTTGATTCTGGTTTTGGAATTTTATTTCAAACTTCAATTCAAAATAGATTGGTTCAAAATCTAAATTTTTTTAAACTAAAAAAAAGATATTTTGTCTATTCAACAATGCAGTTTCCAATATTTTTTTCTTCCAATAATTGTCAAATGTGGCTTCTATTCACTTCTATTGTTGTAAAAAGTTGCTCAGACTTTGTCCATTTTATTGTAACTTTTAACAATTTTTTTTTTAATCTTTGGAGATACATTTTAGGATTTTATTCAACCCTCTGTCAGTTTTGTTATAACTTTTCTTTGTAGCGGTTTGGAATTTTTTTAATCGTCTACGCCCTTGAAAGTCCTGATTTCCTGCGAGAAATGTCACTCTGGTTGCACCTCTTTTTTGCAAGTCTGACAATAATTCCACTGTGCTCCTTTCTTTTATATTCACTTGGGCCAATTTCTTAGAAAAGCGTCCTCTCAACTCATATAAATTTCGCGGAGGCGCAATAAACTCGGTCCATTGTCCTCTGCTTCTTTCCTTCTCTCCGCCGCGGTGCAAATAAAACTTATATACAGAGATAAATAGATGCCCCCGCGCGCAATGTTGAGAGCTCGGCAAAAAGCATCATTATAAAACGTCGCGCAGCTTTTTCCTCTCTTACATTTTATAAAAGCCAGTTTTGCCTCGGACAGAAAATGAAAGTGCCCTCGCACATTCCAGCGGCGTGTCACATTTTACATGCACGTATGAGCTCGCTCGGTGCTTTCATTCAAATCTCCGATATCAGCCGTGATATTGAACCTTTTTATTCTAATTGACTTGAGTGTATGATATAAAAAAAAAGAAAGAGAAAACTCATTAGATTGCGGCCGTGCAAAAAATTATTGACGTGTGACTCATGTTGCGGTGAACTTTGCGCAACTGATAAAACCAAAGTCGAGACACCGCCCTTTTTATTCGTGCCAAAATGGATTAGGCGGAGAAAAAGTTTCATAACTGTAACCTCAAGATTTTGTGACAATTATTTAAAATAATTAATTCTCTCAATTATTGTAATAAAAATTTACAAAGAAAATTTAATTAAAAATGAAAAGGGGCTTGTATTTTTTATGAAGTAATAATATATAACTTGAATTCCCGTATTATTATTATTATTTCTGGTAAATAAACGTGCAACGTTATTTTTAATGAAAACTAAGAGGAGAAATTTTTGCAGGCTGGTCTTACCGGTAGATTTATCTGTCCGCGTTTACTAAAATTCATGAGCCAGCAAGTTCTTTCTCTCGTCTAAAATGCTTTTTTAAAGAAGCTCAACACGGAAATAACCACATATATGTATTTACACTCTCACTTTTACCGCATAATCATTTGCCAGGTATAAACGGCGGCGCCGGAGTAGAAAAGAGTCAACCTGGTCTCTCGGTTAAGCCGTTTTTGGATGCAGGTATGGAAGAAGATTATAATTTCTCTCACTGGCGCGAGGCATATTTTTGTAATCAAATTTGCTCCAGTTCGTGCATGATTTCGAGAGCAATTCATTGCCTGCCTGTGTCGTGTAAAAAGAGAGTTTGCTAAATAAAGAAGAAGAGAAGAAGATCGAGGAATGGAAGAGAAGCAGCCGGCAGCAGCTTTCTTTTAGTTTGTATAATTCGGAGTAAAATTTACCGCTTGAGCGTGCAGAGTTTTTTTATGCTGATCCAATTCCGCAGAAAATTTGCTTACTCACTCGCACCTCGTTTCATTTAAGTGGAAATAATTTAAAGTTGTATAAATTTAAAAAAAAAACTTGGATTTTTGAATATTAAAAATGCAATCTTAATTAATATGTAAATTCTTTAAATATTAAAATTTAATTGCAAATCTGTGCAAACTCCACCATAAAATGACTCAACGCATAAACAATTTGCCTCAATGAAAGCAATAATTATTCAAAGGAGGAAGGCTACTTGTTTATAATAATAATAATAATATGTAGTTTACTTACGCGGTAACGAGCATAATGCGGCCGGTGTTGCGCGGCTAATTAACTATTGTTGTGCAAGTGGTCGCTGATTGCGGCTCGAGAGGTGCGATGCCGCATCCAACACAGGGCGCCGGTGAAAAATGGACGCCGAAGACACTGTGTCTTGCTATGGAACTTGGCGCTGCACAACTACTCGGACGGATGCTGCGGCCGCAATATGTCGCGCGCGCCTTCACTCTCTCCTTTTATATGACCACTTCACTTTGACCCAAATTCGCGCGGCTCGCTGCCTCCAGATTGGACGGATGCATTATTACCTGTTCTCCGCCCTCCCTCCCGTTCGCCGATTCCGCAGCACCTCTTCACCAAAACCACCCTCGCATTTATGCAATCAAATGTGGAAAAAAACACAACAGCGATTTCGGTTCTGCCGATGTAATGAAAGTGGAATTTTTGCATTACACGAGTTCATTGAGCTGCAATTTTTATCAACTGGAATTCAGAAGGATTTATTTTTGCTTCATCTCTGTGGTTAATTTTAATGGCTCAATTGAAGCAATTAAAACCTGGTTAAAACCTCCATAAATTGCGTTTGTATTTTTTACAACTCTCATCATTGTTCTGTTAAATTATTTCTTGAAGTCAATTTATTCAGAAATATCAGTACCGAATTATGGCATTGTACAATTTTTAATTGAAGAATAATGAATAATAATATTGTTTAAAAACTTCCTGGAGCTACAAGAACGCCAATTATATTTAAAAATACGTTTTTTTATAAATTAATTAAAACTCATTCTCTAATTCTCACTCTTGCATAAAAATATAATTTGATCGTGAAAGTTGCAATATTTTTCGCGCTCAAATAACTTTTGTTCTTTACATGAATTTTATTAACGACGTAATCAAATTATAAATTTTATATTTTAAGATTAATATCCGCACAACTCTTTTACTGGATTGATGCAATTTAAAATAATTCAAAATAATCAGAAGAGATAATTCCAAAAATTTGAACAATTCAAAATCTTATGCAAATGATCATTTCAAACTATTCAAATATGTTAAATTAGATTCAATGGAAAGATATTATTGAGGAGTAATCAAAAGTTTTAACAGGAGGTTATTGACGGATAGATTTTGATTAATTTTTATTCACAAAATAATTAAAAATTTTATCTACACTACCATAATATTTATTTATATTAATTCTAAAACTTTTTAAATCATAATATGATAATATTTAAATTTTATTTAATTTATCAGTCATTTATAAATTTTAATTTAATTCAAAGTTTATGGTTTATTTAAAATATATTTAATGTAAAATTAACTAATTTAATTATAAAAATTATGATTATTAAATAAAATCAAAACAAATGTTATTTTTAACTGTGTAGTACTTAAAATAAATACATAATCCTAAATAAAAAGTTTTTTTTATCAATGGATGAATTTTGATTTTTTTTTTATGATTAAGATTATAATTAACCAAGCCTGGTGGCCCAGTGTTGAGAATTCTGCGGTCAGTGGGATCAAAATGCTCAGTTTTTTGGAAACAAAGAGCCTCTGGTATGCGAATCGTGGACAAAATTTCGTCAGGAATTCGGAATGTGCGGCGCAATCTGCACCGACTCGGCTCGCTTTTCTGAGGTTTTTGCCACGTTTCATCACGTTTTGCTCCCTATTTTTTCCCCTTTCTCTCCTCCCTCGCCTCACTTGGCCCATCAATCACATGTTTCCGGAGTTTTGATCTGTTGATTTTGTGCGGAAGGACGCGATTTTTGAGCTTGCGGGTGATATAGGACGAAAAGTGCGTCTTAACTGAGTCCTTTGAGAACTTTTGCCTGTTTTTGGTGCCACGAGGGACGGACTGACGAGACCAGCGGGACATTTTGGACGCAACGCAAACGGGACAGCGAGAAAGAAAATCTCCAAAGAAAGGTTGGTGAAAATTGCCTGATTCGATTCGAATTATAAAGAAAAGGTTTCTGAAAAGAAATAAAAATATCGCCAAGGATTAGGAAAAAAAATTATCCTTTCTAAACTGCAACAATTGGAGTTATTTATGTCCTTTAGTTGTTAATTCACCATTTGCGAAATCAAATAACATTGGTTCTTATGATAGCTTCATCTTAGAATGATTGAATCTTTTCAATCCTAAGACATGTTGTACAAAATGAAAAATAAAAAATATTGGCGTTGGAAAAATCAAAATTGGTTCAGCGTGGGGCTGTAGTCAGGCGATCAAAGATTTGTAAAAGCTCAAAAAATTGGCTTCGGTTGCCTACTTTTCAAATCTTTGATCGCCTGACTACAGCCCAACGCGGAACCAATTTTGATTTTTCCAACGCCAGTATTTTTTATTTTTCATTTTGTACAACATGTCTTAGGATTGAAGAGATTCAATCATTCCAAGATAAGGCTGCCATAAGAACCAATGGTATTCGATTTCGCAAATGGTGAATTCCAAAAATATGTATGACTTTGTACATCGCCAAATTATTTTCTCTTTCCTGGCCTGCGGGTTATTTTGCTTGTGTTAAAAATAAATTCTTTCGATTGCACAGCCAAAAACAAGTTGGTTAATTGTTGTGAACCGGAATATTTTAGATTGCATAAAATTATGATACTTAGAGGAAGCAGAAAAATGCTAAATATTTAATGATCTTGTCCGAGCAACGCCTAACAACATTTGAAACAAATTTTCGTGATATTTGAAAGACAATTTATTAAAATCGGGTGCAAAATTAGATTTGACTGATGTCAGTAGAATGAGTCAAATTAGTTTTCAATAAATTACATTTTTAGAATTTTTTCGTCCCATTATTAAATTTATCAGCCACGTTAACTATTCTCTATTTAAATTTTCATCAGTTTCTGGCTAAAATGCAATAAAAAACGGATAAGTTAATTCTTTAAAAATTTTGATCTTCGCTTCTTGACTGGTTATTTTTTGTGTAAACAAGTCAATTCGCCATTCCAGAGAGATCTAATTAAGATTATTTTTATTAGCGTTTTTCACTCGGAGACCCTAAAATCACGGCTGGAATGGCTTTATTTTGCAGAATGTCGAATGAAACGAATAATATTGGATTAGGAAGTGATTTGATATGATAATCAAGCCGCACGGAATGCGGAATAACAATTTTGAAGCCGCGGGTCTCCACAACCTTCTGATCGCCCTCGTCTTTAAAATTAATAATATGGAGCGAGAAGCCAATCGAAAGGACGAACCGAGACCCGGGGCCAGTCGATGAGACAAACCACTGCTCTAATTATCAATTTCAGCCAGCGCCATTATTTATTATTAAAAAAGCAGAAAATTAAACATAATCGAACTTAAAGTTCATGATCAAATTTACCAAAACAAATTTTCCGTTGAATTGCATAAAAATGAATAAAATTGAGCAATAATTTGTACAATTTATCTGAGTCAGAATTTTACACCAATGATTTAATTGATCCTGCTTTTCCTCAATGTTTATATTGTTTCACGGAAAAAAACTATTGAAAATGACTCAGAAGCTTGTTGAGGAAAAGTTTGCTTCAAATTCAACTTACTAGAATATAACTTTGCCTTATATAATTTGCATTCCTGCATAATTAAAATTGTCTGATCAATGTAGCTCTAAATATGATTACATTTTAAAAATTCGGCGAAAACTATGATGAAGTGAAATGAAATGATTGCTTGACCTTTTTTACCTATTAAAACCATGTAAAAATCCACGAATATTATTTGACTCCGGAGTTCAACAATCGGCAACAATCAAACAATGCACTGATTTGGCTTTAATTAATTTGTCTTCTTTTTCTAATTTTCAGTAAATAAAATTTTTAATTCCTCAATTTGTGTCTCTGCTGATGTTTTTTCTTTGGTGGAATTTATTTTCAATAATCGCATTACATAAATTTTATCTATAAACGTAAGAATCTTCACTTCTCAGGCGTTTATCTGATTAATTAAAACATTTGTCTGATCAAAAAAGCCTAAAATTAAGTAGAAAATATTAAAAATGCAATTATCTCATTTTCAATTCGCTTAATTTATCAAAATAAATCAGACAATACTAATTTATTCATTTTTTTTTAAACAAGGAATCATTAATTGATTGCAATGAGAATATGTGAGAATAAAATTGTAAAAAAATTATTACAAATAAATGTTACAAACTTTCTTAAAATAATTTATATAATGTCCATCTAAATACAGTATTTTTTTCTCTGCAAAAATAAAGAATGAAGATGGAAAGTTTGACAAAAATGACCGCCAATTATAAGAAAGATGTCTTCTTTAATTGCTCACAATTACCTTAATTTTTCCATTTTCGTCTCTCCGCTGAATTTTGTTGTTGGGAAGAGAAACTGGTAAAAAGTCAGCAAGGTCAGTCGCCGCCGCCGCGTTTCCCTGTTTATATTTGTTTACTCGCAGATACAATATCAACTCCTTCGGCTAATTGCTTTCATCGTCGCTTAATTAATTGAAAAAGAAAAAATGAGAAGGCGCGCCTTGGTGCTGAGGAAAGCTAGATAGGATTTCGCTGCAGGATCTGTGAAATGAAAACGAAAACAAGTATATAGAATTCGCGCAAGCAGGCTTTCTTTCTTTTTCTTGCTTGGCTCTTCTTCGAGTACAAAACCCACAGCGCTTTTCCTTTCATTAGCATATTCAGCTGCGAGTACTCGCGCTTTTGCCAAGTCGTTTTATTATATATTTTATTCCAGCTCGAACCGGCCGAAAATCGCATCGAGAGTCGCGCGCGTCCCTGAATCCATACCATGCAAACCGGCCTGTTTACTTGTCGCACAAATTTCAACGCACAGGGGAACGAACAGGTCGCTTGCCCCGTTTTGGGCGTCGGCCGCGCTCGTTTACATGGTCGCTGAGCTTTTTGTCGCCGCAAGAGTCGTGAAAAAACTGGTCTTCTTCCAAAATGAAACATATTCAACTGGAATTGTTCACGATTTTAATTTTTTGGTCTTCAAAGTTAAATGCAAAATTTATTTTCAGGTAGAAATTTACAGGAATAACTAAAATAAATATAATTATCAATTTAACAAACCCAAAATTAATTATTTTAAAATAATGATGGATGAAGCTCGAGAGTTGAAAAAGTCAATGAAAATGAAGTAATTTTCAGACTGAGACCTACAAATATTATATATTAAAAAATCCTTCAAAAACATGTTTCATGATACATAGGAATTTTTTTTGTTTATTATTTCGCCCAATTGAACTCCTGATTCATATAAATTTTATAAGTGTATATTTTAAAGATTTCGCCTCCAGCATTTTGGAGATAAGGAAGTAATTAAAATGGAAAATATTATTATTTTTTGCATTATATTGACTGATTAATTCTTAATTTGGAAGCATATTATTTGACGTCTTATCATTTTCAATTGATCAAATATCTGGTAAAAATCTTCTGTAATGGTAAATTATTTGATCAAGATTGAGCTTGAGTAAATTAATTGAAAATGTGTGGAATTATTCATATATTATATGAATATTATTGGAAATCGATCATTCAAGAATAAAAGTATAAAGTCGCATTCTCTGCATGTGATCACTTTCAAATTCATAATTTTTGCTCTATTTATTCTCTCAATTTATACCGTTTTAATTTCTTTCTTTAATTACCCACTACATTTGCATTCACCAGATGATATTAATTCTTTCACTTAAACCCTAGTAAAAATTTCAATCGCTTCTGAACAATTTAAGGGGCACCGATTTATTAGAATTACGGCAAAAATAAATGTTTGCACACCGAACACTGAACACCGCACACAGCACACTGAACACCAAATACCGCACTGTTTTTTTTTCAACCTTTTTACTGAAAAATTGATGAACTCTTTTATTACAAATTACTTTTGTAATTAGCTAACAATATTTTCTTTAGTTATTATTTAGCTTCTAAAAGCGTGTAATTGTTAAAAAAAAAACTTTATTAATTTAATATTATTTCAGTAATTTACAATCTTATTTGGAGATTTTAACTTTTTATTTTAAATAAAATTTACAAAAAAAAAAAAAATCTGAAACACAAAATACAATCCATAAAAAAAACCACAGGCACCGCGCGGTGCCCAAATTTAATTTGTTTTATTTCGCTGCATGATTAATATATCGACACCTTAAAGTGGCTGTCACTACAGCTGCCTCGATGAATCATAATTAGCAAGACGTCATTTCTCAGGGTCTTTTTGAATGGGTTAGTCAGATCGGTCTCGTGGAAATTCCTCCTCATTTGTTTACTCATAGAAATTGCACCGTCTTTCTCTCAATCGAAACAATGAGATCAAAATCAAGGCCGTTGGCAGCAGACGGGACACCTTTTGCTGCAGCACGCTCGGGACAATCACCTTTGCCAAGGACAGGTTTTTTTATTTAGAGGGCATGGCGAGGGCCTCGATTCGGACCAAATAGGAAAATGACCCGTTTCGGCTGCTTATTTTATTATTTTGATCTCAATTAACTCTCTCGAGAGAGAAGAGACAAAAGATTGTGCCGAGACAATTAGTCGCCTTGAATTGTTTCGCAATTAACGAGCTCGCGGGAATTAAAACGCCCATCTATATAACGGCGAGACAAAAGAAAGAAATGCAAGTTAGTCTGCCAATGACAAAATTCGCCGAGCGACCTTTGTGGCCACGACGCTAATTATGCTAAAACTCAAAGAGGAAGGTTTTCTTAAATTGTGATTAATTGGCCATTAAAGTTATGTAAAACAACAGGAATTAAATTTAATGATGGTTTATAATTTAAAAGCTAAACAATTTTGCGAGAAATTTTGAAATAAGAACCAAAAGCTTCATTTTCTTATCAAATGTTATCGTGATCCTGTTCGTAAAAATAATTATCTTAAAAAATATTTTGAATTTAGGATTGAAAAAATGAAATAAAATTGCCATAATTCATTTTGGTGTTAAAAAAATTCCAGAAACCCTTTCTTTTGCAGTCCTCTTTGGATGCAGATGGGTTATGCAAATGAGAAAGCACATTTGGACGCGATGCGACAAATCAAAGCCTTATTTCTGATTTTATTCAACTGCATTTGTTTATTCACTTTGGCCCGACTCCAGCGAGACGTGTTTCTTGCACTTACGTGTATCGCCACCGCTCGTTTCTACACTCACGGCCAATATACACGTAAATCTCTGAATCGGATGAAAACGCACTTGGTATAAATTAGCACACCTACTCCGCCCTCGCCTTTGCAGGAAGCGAAACTGGTTGCGTGAATTTTTACCATAACAAGCATGAATTCTTTTCTCAAATTAGAAATTAATTAAGCCAGGCAAGCGTGACTCAAATAAAAGTGTAAAAATTTTTACGCAACAGCGTGGAATTTTTGCAGCGAGGAAATTAGAATTCTAAATATATTCGCAAAAGAGCAGAGAGATTTCCCTGTGCTGGAAGGAGTCATTCGGCCTTGCAACATTTTACTTTCCTTGTGTGACGCTCTCTTGATTGTGAATTGGCAAATTCAGTAATCAAAACGATAAAATTAAATTTTTATGAAAATAAATTTTAAACGTCCCGTGAAGAAATTTGAAAAGAAAGTCGTAAAGCGATGCATTCTTCGGCGGAATTTTAACATTTAAAGGTCATGTGAGCGAGACTCAATGAGTTTGTTAAACGTTTAAAATGCACTCGCCAAGACAATTACCCAAGTCGAGGGAAACCGCCGGAGTAAAAAAATCGGCACATTAGTGATGTGTGGCGAATAAGAAATTTTCAGAAGAGAAATTACATGAGGCCCTTTTAACATGGAAATGATGTCACTTCAATAATGCGCCTTGGATTGTCACAATAAGCACAGGCGAAATTATTCACAATGAGAAAGCAGAGACGCGAATTCGCACCAAAACTAACTTTCGATTATGCAAAAAAATGATAATTGTTTAGCAAATTCAAAATAAATTGAAGTTATTTACAAGACTGAAATAAATAAATACATTATGGATGATTAAATAATTGTTAGAAATAAATTTTCAATCGGTCATTTTTATTTCGCAATTACCAGTAAAATTTAAATATTTCTAGAACAATTTTTTGCAACACATTTTCGTTCCTTTTTTAATTTTGCTCTCCATTATTTTTACCCTTTGGCTCGGTACGATTGGAGATGCTCTTCAAAAGTCACGACTCTCGCGTGATGCAACGAAAACAGAGAGTTCTCTCTGATCACCTTCTTTTTGCCTTTTATTCCACGAGATGACTCTATTTCAACGTGAGGAAATCCCTTTTCCTTTTTCTTTCCTTGCGCCGACCGAAATAATCGCGTGCGTCTCTAATTGTAATAAATAAACGCAATCTCCGATTCTAATCGCGCGTTGCGTCAGCGGACATGGATTGCCAATATGCAAATGTCGTGAGCGATTTGGAGCTTCTCTGTGGAAGAAAGAGACCTTGGTGTTTTACGACGATAAATCAGTCCTGCGAGTTTTCGCTAAATGTCAGCCGAAAATTCGAGATGTCTTTGCGCAATTTATGAATTAACAGGTGAACAACAAGTAAGTACATTTCGAATGTGAACGAGAGCTGCAATTTTCAGAGGAACAAGGCCAAAACGTGTGTTTAGTTGTAAAAGTCTGACAAATGAAATCATTTAATTTGCAATCATAAACATTGTATTTATTTTTTACTTTTTCTCTGATTTCTAATTCTTACGTTAATCGTTAATTATGAGATTTAAACTGTAATTAAAAAGCTTCTGAACCTTTCCTCATGGGATGAATTTAAATTTTTGATGTCGACTGACTTAATAATATCATTTTCCATCTTAAACGTGATTTGCAGACATTTTCATCAATTTTAGTCGTGCCAATTTTGAGAAAAAACTTTTTGTAAAAAATTCCGATAAGAAACAATGCTAAATTTAAAAAAAAAAATCAGTTTGTAATTTTCTTTGGGACTTGATTAAATCTAAAAACCAATGCTTATGCAGGAAAAAATTACCTTGAAAATTAATCAGGATGTTAATTTTTTTTGCAAAATCCTGTCTTAATAGGTAAATATTAAAAATGCCGGGATTATTTTGTTCAATTGTCGTTTTTATTTTCTTAAAATGTACAGAACAATGAATGGGATGCAGTGAGGTGTCTGGCTGGACAGTGGGACAAATATTGCGATGCAAAACCTAAAATTATACAATTACATTCCGCCGAGGTTTTCACAAATATGTAACAAAATTGGAGTGAAACGAGAAATAATTAGCAAATTATTTCTAGAGAGGCTTATTCGTCTGTCTTTTTTCGAGTTTTTAACATTATTCGATAAATGCAATTCGTGCTGACGAAACATAATAATTGTGAAATTAATTAGAGAGCTCGAGGGCGGGGTCGACAACAATTAAACAAAAGACTCGTGGTGTGGGGTCGTGTTCTTGTCTAAATTTATACGCAAAACAAAACATTGGCGACTTTTCTCGATAATAAAATTAATTAATTAAATTGCTCTAGATAGAATATTGTCAGTGGGCGACTCTTCTCGGGGCGTATAATTAATACTTCTTAAGTGCGCAAATTCTTTCTTCTTTACACAGAGAGAGGTTTCTCGACGAACGAAGAAAAAGTACAAAACAAAAACAAATCTCAAAAGTACGGTGCGTGTGTATTTACAAAATGACATGAAAAATAAATATATTTATATATGCATCGGTGTATATGAATATTTAAATCTGCGATGGTCATCGTTTCTCCTTCTTCTTGTTTTAAATTAAAAAATTTTCACTTTTTATGGTACATACACAATTAATCTTAAGACTCCACACTAGACTTGATTTCATTACGCATTTATTCGTTTCAAATTTTTCGTCTTTTGGAAAAAAAAACTCTCCAATTACAACTTAAAATGAAAACGAAATTTAAAGCGTCTCAGAGACTATTTTTTTTTTTAAATATATTTTAAATAATTTAATGATCATCCCTTTCTCAAACTAGTGTCTTTGGTAATCAAGCAGAATGAACTAAATGAGTATAATTATAGTTATTATTTCCTCTCTCGCGCCGCTTCCCTCCTCAAATTAAGTAAGAAAAGCCAAAGTCGGAAAAGTAAATTATAAATTTAAAATTTACTGACTAAAGCAGGAACGACGGCCCGAGAGAAAAACAGCCTTTTTTTCAAGAAAAAAAGATGAATCAGCCCCTAGCAGAGTAGAGAACAAAAATCAACGTGACCAAATCAATCAACTCTAGGTTTTTGGTGCGGATCCAGCACTTGGTGCGACAAAATCATTAACTTAATATTACACAGGGTGGTTACTACGATAATATATAATTATAATAATTACACAAGATAACAAAACTCTTCCGAGAGAATATAATAATATTTCCTTGTGGCGCGGGAGGTAGCAAAATAATTAGCGTTTATAACTTTACAATCGTCCACATTTTTTTTTCATTCATTCACTTCCTTTCTTTCTTTCTTAATAATGTACTATGGACACGCACACACACCCAATGCTGCTGCCTATCGTAGATAGTAATATCGTCCACCTAACCCAATCACTTCCGAAACTTCCCTCCTTGGAGTAAAAATTAATTTTCCGGCCAAAATGCAGAAAAAGTGGAAGTTTTCCAATCTTCTAGTTTTTTTAATATTTATCCAATATATATATAGATTTATTTTCCCTCTTCGAATTTCGTCTGCCATGTGTCCAGTGTTTTAATAATTCGCTTTCGTTCTTTCTTTCTTTGGCTGCTGTGAGATCTGAACTCAGTCAGGTGAGAACTGGTCCGAGTTCACGCAAGACGAGCGGACGCTGGGGGCGACGAGGCGGCCAGGAGGCGGCTGCTGGGGCGGCTGGCCGTCAGGGGCGACCTGCTCACCGCCTGCTGCTCCACAATGGCGTACTCGTCCGGCTGCAGGTGGAGGCCGTTGCCGCCGCCGTCCAGACCGGACACCTCAGCCGGCACTAAAAATTAAACCATAATTAATTTTCGGATCAAAGTTTTAATTAGAGGAAATTTTGTGTTAGACCTCGATTCAAATTTAAAGAAGTAGGAACTTGCTGAGAAAAATTGAGATGAAGAAAAATATGAAAAAATTTGATTTGATGAAATTTTTACAGTGTATAGTACGAATTTTTTATTTCTATTTAATACATGTTTTTGAGAAAAAGTGCATCAAAATTTGATCTGATAAAAGGTTGACCCTGAATGGAGGTGAAAAAACACAGTTTTTTCTTCTTATTTTTGAGGTTTAAAATTTTAAAATACACTGTTAAAAAGTTTTCCTAATATACGTTTTCCACAAGTTTTATGTAAATTGTTGATTTTGCCAAATTAATTGGGGTGATGTTAAGTTTTTTTGTAACTTTTTTGTTGAAATTTTCATTAATAATTAGGTCTTTTGCAATTTCTTGGCCTTTTTTTTAATTAAGTGTATATTTTTCTTCATACTCACAGGTTACTTACTAAGAAGACCACTGGCACCGTATCCGTATGAGCTGTAAGGGGTTGCGTACTGCGAGTAGGTGGAGCTGTACGCGTACTCGGTACCCGGCGCGCTTCCCACTGAAACAACCAAAACCAAAATGAGTCCCTTTCAAATTATATTTTTGAAATCATATTTCACCAAACCGGTTCTTTTTAGTTTCTCTTACCGATCATTTCCCATTCCAAATTGGTGATTTTAAAACTCCAACTGATTTTTACAATAACAATTAACATGCACTAAAATTATTAATTTTCTACACAAGACGTACCTGTCGAGGTGGCGTATTGTCCGAAGCTGGGCAGTACCGTGTACGCTGGCGCCGTGACCGGCGACGACGTGGGCGGCGCCGGCTGCAGCACCGTCAGCGAGCCCTGGTGCTGGATGAGGGGCATCGGGGAGGTGTTGGAGGTCGGAATGCCGGGCGACACCTGCCCGCCGGCGCCCGCCATCAGCGGCGACGACGTGTTGTGGTAACCACCGGTGGCGCCGCCGTCTGCACGTGCACACCAAACAACAAAAGCAAAACAAAAACATGCTTAGTTAAAACAATTAATAACAAATAATAAAAACAAAAAATGGGAATCTTATAATAAATTTTTTCCAAAGAAAACATTCAAACCAACTCAAATCAGGCACTTAAACTAGACTTGAAGTAAAAAAAGCTTTTGAAAATTTATTAAACAAATATTTTGATAAAATTTATTTTTGAAAATTCTTATGATAAGTGTAAATTCTTGAATTTTGATTTTACCAGCTTAATTAGGGTGATTGGAGCTTTTTTTTATCAATTCCAGTGTGGCCAATTTTAAGAAAATTATGAAGTAATTAGGATTTTTCTTCTTATTTTGAAATTTACTTAGGTAAATTCTAATGAAATTGTGATTTGGGAGGAAATGAAGAATAAATTAGAGTAATAAAATTGCAATGAAACAAAGCGTGCAATCAATCGCAGCACAAAACATCATTACTCATATCACATGGATCGCGCGACGGGCAATCAATTAGAAAACAAGAAGCTGCCGAAGGGACTCGTTCGCTTGAGAGATCCATCTCTCGACTGCTGAAATTACCTTGGTACGGAGAAATCGAGGAATCGAGCACGCCCGATGAGGTTACGGTGGGTTTCATTTCCTGCATGGTGATTGGCACCAGCGGGGTCAAATTACCACTGCCTGTCAAACGATCCAAAAATCGCCGTTTAAAACATACATCGGATGCAACAAGACACAAACAAACAGGAAAAAATGCAGGCGAGGAAGCGAGAAAAAAAACAAGAGAAAAAAATCGTGTCTTACCAAGAGAGGCGGCGAGGGGGGTGCTGTACGAGGGGGTGTTCTGAGAGAGGGAGTCGTACAGGTCGGCCGAGGTGGTGGTCGGGAATGCTTGGTTGTCGGACACGAAGCTCTGCACGCTGTAGGGCGAGCCGCCGTTGCCTGCAGCGCCAGCGTTGCCCAAATCGAGCAGCTTCGACGACCAAATCTGCAAATTGAAAGCGAATTTAAAATGCATTCATTAAAGTGAAAAATTTTAAGGTAATTTCAAATGCGAAATCATTCATTTCTATTTCCATATTTCAAAAAAAAGTTACAAAACTTCATAGTTGCATCAAAAAGTTAGTTCACCAAATTTTTTTTTATAATAAATTCAAATTTGTTCAAAGTTTCTTCTATTTTAATTAAATACTAGAAAATTTACCTAAAAATCATTACAGAAAACAAGTGCATGATAAATAAATTTTTTTATATTTTAAAATAATAAAAACAAATTAATAGAAAATTGGTACTTTCACATGTTTTCATTATTTCTAAACACTTGAAATTAAAATAAATTTATAATTGCTTTGCTTACATTGGCGTAGAGAGGATCTCCGTTGTATTGGGTGCGGTTTCTCTTGATGTCATCCTCGGTGTGACCGTTCAAGTCTCGATTCTCGTCAGAAATAACTGTAAAACGAATTCGTCTGGGATTAAACGGCGCGCTTCCAACAAGTCGTTGTGAAATAACGTGTCATTACTCGAGGTTAATTAGGCAAATCGCCGTCAACTCAAGCATTATTATTTCTCTTTTTGGCGACTTGTCGAACCACTGAGCATAAAGAGACAAAAAAAACTTATATAATTTCCACTTTCGTTATTTTGCGGAGCGGAAAAAATCGTGGCGAAATTTGCATCTGGGAAAAATGTTAGAATAAAAGCAGAAATTAATCTCGCGGAACGGCTCTTTTTGTTCGTTGTGTGTAAAAATAATTAAGCACAAGGGTGCCGTTGGGGCGGGAAAGCGGAGGACAAGGTGCACATTGTTGCAAGAAGCATATGCCGGGCCATTTAATCGAGATCAAGAGCACACCGACCGACCGACTAATTAGGCGCGCGTGGATCTCTTTGTGCCATCCAGCCGAGTTATCTGCCGCCTAATTAGTTAACCCCCGGCTCGATTGCATCGCCGCGCCGCCGCCGCCGTCTATTTATTCATCGTCAAGAGCGATGCCACTCGAGATATTGCTCGCCCCTGATCATTCTCCCCGGGGACGCGTTCTCACCCCCGCTAGAGATTTGGCACCCGAGTTGTGTATTGAAAAAAAGGACGAAGGAAAAAGACAAATCTGAGCAAATGATCGCGTGGGGAATTACTCGGTTCGATGGAAATTTATTGTTATAGTTAAAATTAATAGCAAAAGAAAGTGGGGAAAACTTATTTTAATTATTAAGAGTAAAAAGTGCAAGTTAATTTTTAAGAACAGGTTCTGGTAGGGATAATTGCTCAAATCAACAATTAATTACAGTTATAATTCAATTTCAATTTTATTCAAATTTTTAGAATTTAAAAAAAAATTGTTTAAAGATCAAAGTTTATTGAATTTAAACATTTTTCTAATGTATAGTTTTTAAAAATTCAATAATTATTACTTTGAAACTAAAATTTTATAAATCAAATTACCTTTTTAGCAATTTGAGAAAAAAATTGAATAATTAACTGTTCAAGTTTTGAAAATTTTGTTAAGAACGAAATTTTGCCGCGGACTCACCTATGGGATCCTCACGCTTGCGCTTGGTGGGTGTGAGGTGCTGGTCGGCTTGAGCTATTCCCAAGATTCCGTTTATGCTATAGGAACCTGTTCTCTGAAGGGTGGTGGTGTCGTGCGGCGACGAGCTGATGACTGGGGGTGCGTGCGTGATCACTGATATCGTCTGCGGCGGCGCCGACCCTGAGTTGTTCTGGCCCTGCTGCTGTTGCTGCTGCTGGTGCACGTGCTTGGCCTTCTCCGCGGCCTTGTTGCGCACGATCCTGCCCAACAAAAAAAAAACACATATTCGGTTACATTTCTCTCAAAAGCAACACTAGAATGAAATTCAATCTCTCGTTTCTCCTATTCTTAACTCCCACGCTTTGCAATTCAAAAAAGAAAAGTCGCCCAAAATTAAATTAAAAATTGTAATAATATTTGCACAATTTTTAACTATTTAAACCACATTTTATCATTTTTACTATAAATTATATTAATAATCTAACTTGCGATTTCCAATAAATTTATCTTCAAGTTCAGCAGCTAATTTTTTTATGTCATTTTTATATCTGAATTAACTGCAATTTTTAGAATTTTTTATTGAGGCATCATAGGATAGCTTGGATTAATTACATTTTAAAATTAATATTTCATTTTATGAGAATTTTCCTTTTTTAATCAGAATCTGCCAGGTTAATTTTGAAGAAAGTTTCCTCACATCAGCCCAATTAAAACAATAAAATTTCAATATCTGACGTTAAACATTTGGAAATCCTTTTTTTAGTAAAGATTCTGATTAAACACCTCAAAAATTCAATTAAAGCTCTAAAAATTTTCTGTTTTTATTAGATTTCCTTTCATACTTTGAATTTATAATTCTCTTTTCTTAAACGCATTGAAATTATAAAGATCGAAGGTTGGAAAATTTCAATTTGTTCCGAGTTATGCAACCTGCTGGACGGGCCTGCCACGCCGGTTGCCCCCGTCTTGATTGAATGCTCACTTGGGTTTTGGGCCGAAACCGAAATCTCACGGTTCGGCAGCCATTTTGAAAGCGATTTGGACACTTTCCAGCCAGATTTCGAGGAAATCAATCGAGCGCAGGGGCCAAAAGTGAGCAGAGGCTGCTTCGGAGGGAAATTGCGAGCGGCCGGAGGGAATTGCCCGCGCTTGCTTCAAATTTGCCTCAATAAAGAGACTGGATCGAGCGAAGCTATAGGGATCTTTCTTGGGGGTGAGATGCTTGACTAAGTGCGTGCATTTCAGTGTTGGAGCGCATTTCCTCCGAGGGAGAGAGAGAAAATGGCCAAGAAGAAAAACACAAAGACGCCGGAGCAAATCATGCGCATTGGCAAAGTGTTTTCCCACCAATCGCGGGATTATTCCGCTGCGGTGGAAAAGCCACCACCACCCTATCTTCCAGGCGAGTGGAAAAATCAGACCTGGCACACACGGACGGGCAGCTCAATATATTTTATTCTAATGGGAAATGTGAACACAAATGTTTGTTCATAAAATTTTAGTAATTCTTTACAGGAATAAACAAAAATTTACTATTAAAGCCCAAATACAACTTTCTTAAATAAAAAATGAGGTTCTAAAATGACCTTAAATTAAAACTAATTTTGATATTATTCACCGTTCATCACCTATTTTGAAACATAAAATTAAATAATTTTTAGAGCTAAAATTTTTTTAACAATAATCACCTATTTTTCCAAGGGCGTGAGCAGAAATTAAAAAATATCAGACAATTTTTTGTCTTCAAATTTTTTGTTTTTTGTTCTTGAAGCCCTGTTAGACTTGACACATTTTATCTGTATGAATGATTTCCTTGTTCTGGTGCGCCGTTTTTATTTTATATATTCCTTCGTTGAAATGAAAGGGAGAGACCCCCGCTGCCAAAATTACAATTTAAAATTAGATTATTAGATTTTAAACCGCACCGAATTCGGACCAGACTGTGAAATAAATGGAAAAATGATGCAGTTTATTCATGAGGGGGTGGACGAACGAATTTGTGCGAAACAATGAGCCGCGAAAAAATGAGAGTAAAAAGAGGGCATGTGCGCGCAGCCAGCGAAAAATTGCGATCAAAATTTATTCATTAAATCGGGCGTCGCGTAATGAATCTGCCGAGGGTTGAACGTGATATTTATTACGATTTGAAATGCGTAAATAAAGCAACAGCGCGCGGTCTCGAAATTGATGCAGCGGAAACGATTGTTTGTAACCCGATCCGCTGTTTATCAAGCATCATTGTGTTGTTGCTGAGCGCGGCCTGCACCCCTTTCGCACGCACATTGGTCACGGCGTCGACGCCCATTACCATAAGAATCGCTAATTATCTCGGATTTCCCGCCAACTCACAATCAGGGGGGCGTCCCAACTTGCACAAACCGCAAAAAGCTGTTATTGTTTAAAAATTTTAAAAAAGCAGAGAAAAAGAAGATAAATAATGGGCCGTATTAATTTTGGTGTTTTTTTTATACATTCTATTAGATTTAGTTTACAGATACAATTTCCTTAAGAAAAATAAAATGAATTGGTAGAACTGAAATTTTGAAATTTAAAATTATTTATTATGGGAATTTTCTAAATGAATCTTTTTCTTTAAATTGCCTGACCGAAATTAATAAAAATTTCACCAAATCACGTTCATATCACATCAATTAAGACGGAAAAATAAGCTCGTTTTTTTAGTCGACATCAAAAATGAATATAGATCTTATTGAAAAAGGTTCAAAGTTTTAATTTCAGTGACGATATCATAAGCTCCTCGTAACATGGTTTTAAAGAGATTTTCTAAATTAATTTTTAAAGTCAAAATTGAAGGAACTAAATTTTTTAATAAATTCATTAAACGTAGATCACGTCAGCCCAATTAAGATTCAAAATTTGTTTAAATTAAGGCAACATCAGAATTTATGGCTATTTCAACTAAATAATAGATTAAAAATTAACAATATCTATTTTTGTATGATTTTTTAGGTTTTTCCTTCAAGCTTTAATTTGGTTCAAATTATAAAAAATAAAATATATATTTTTCTGTAAAAATAGATTTAATTTATACCATTTAAAGAATGAAATTGTTTTGCTCTCATCGTCAGGTCCAATCGTGATTTGTATCAAAATTTTCATGTAACACCGGATTGCAATGGATATAGACGCACATTCAAGTGGCCCTCGAGGCAACAAAGCTGATAATTCCGGTGCAGAGCCGCGCAACAAACACGATAGAGATGAGAGATCACACCCGGCTGAGGGGTTGTGATTGGGGTTCAATAAACTGGCCCGTGAGTCTATTAAACTCGACTCGAACACAGTGTAAGCAGCTGCCCTGCGCATTTATGGGAAACAGCGCTATTATTATTGCAGCGCATATAAACAGCAGCGATTGCCTTTTTGAATTCTGCATCGACAAGGGCGGAGGGGTCGTTGTGTGTGCCAGGGACCGGGGTCTGCTTTTGATTGCAACCCTCTGCGCCAACTACCAACATCCATCAAAGTGGCAATTGATGAAGCAGCGGCGGCGGCGGCGGCGGCCGATACAAAGGATGCTGGCTGCTGCCTCGTCGGAAAAGTTATGTGTTTTGTGTTGCGGATGCAGAAAGGGTCCTTATTTGACGCCTCCTGCTGATGGAGAAACTCTGTTTTGACTTTTCCTGCCTGCCTTGCTCGATTTTCGCTCATTCGGCCGACCCAGCTCGCTTTTGTCCGAATCCAGGCGCACGTCCGAAATATTTTATATAGAAATGCGAATCACAATAGCGCTCCTCATATGACCTTAGAATGTGATATATTTTCCACGATTTTCTACGTAAAAAAAAAAAACATTTTAATTATATTAAATAAAAAAAAACTGAGCCATTTTAATGAAGGATAAAATAAAAATAAAAAATTATTTAATATAAATTTCAAGCTTTGGTACTTTCGGATTTAAAAGTATCCACCTTTGTAAGGAAAATGAAAATTGAAAACTTTTAAAGTTTCATACCGACTTAAATTTTTAATTTTTGAAGGTCAGTGAAAAGTCAAAAGCCGCTGCTTAATTCCCACGAGAAACGGACACCACGAACGGATAAATCTCTTTCTCTGCTTGGGCCTCGGCGCAGCTGCCGTGTGCGTGCCGTGCAAATAATTGTTTGGAAGAAGGTGTCAAATGGCACCTGTGGGACTAATTAGCGTGGTCAGTTGTTGTGCCCGAGCGTGAGAGCGGCGACCGGCCGCTCACGCACGTGACTTATTGCCCCGGGTCGCGGTCTGTCCGCAACCCGATGGCCACCGATTTATTCTTTCCAATTATTTTCCGAGTTAAAATTGGAGACAATAGAGTGATTAATTTATAAAAAAGTTCAAATTGAAAGATGGACTGTAATAATTAAAATAAAACTCACAAAATAAATTTCAAAATTATGATTAAAGTAAAACTCAATTTTTTTTTAATTTAGTCAAATATGAAAAGAAATTCATGTAAATTAACAAACTGAAATTAAAATTCAGTTCTGTTTCATTTATAAATTTATGCTATCACAAAAATACTTAAATTTTTTAGGTTTTTCTACTCCGGAATTTCCAAATCTCATCTCGTTTTTTCCTTCCACCCTTTTTCTTTTCGCAATTACCGGAGAGATGCGCTCTTTTGTAAACTTTTTCTGCGACCTCTGCTAATTAAAAAATCCGTCTGATCTGGGCTCGACGGCGAAGGCGATATCCCGTTTCCCGCAAGAAGATTTGTTTTAAGTGCAGCGCGCGGCCCCTCTAAATTAGCTAAGGGTTTTGTGCGGCGGGAAATAAAGCGTGGTCGGCTGGCTTTTTGATGGTGGCTTGATGAGTTATTCACACAAAGTGCGCGGCAACGCAAAAGGAGACTTTGGTGAGCGAGCGAGTGAGCGGGGCTGTTTTAAAAATTAAAATGCGAATCCACCCCCGGCGGCGGCGGCGGCGGCGGCGGCGGTTGGAGCAGAGATAAAAGGCATATGGGTGTGCATTAGCATAAAACAAGCTTATAATATTGCGGCTGCAGCTCTCTTTGCGCGGCGCCGAGCGAGAGTCGCGCGCGGCACTTGAAAGCAGAGAGCCAATGACATTAAATGGGGATATAATGCATAAAGAGGGGTAAAAGCAGGCAGCGCTCGCTCGCTCGCTCCGAGCTGCAGGAATAATATTGTTGCCTCTGTAGGCACTTATGCCGAAGGCTGTACTGTAATCCAATTATCCCCCTGCCTCTGCCTCTGCTCTGTTTAAAGTGCACCCCCTGTGATGTATGCTGCACTACGTACAATGTAATGTGCATTAACAACCAATCAAAAGCCTCTAATCCCGTGTGTTGTATCCTTGCCAATTATTGTTAGCGCTCAGAGATGGATCGCTGACGAACGCGCGCGCATAGATATGGATCGCTGTAATACTGATTGTTTGTCCGCCGCACACATGCTCTTCTATCGCCGCCCGGCCAGATATTTATTGATTGATCCAAGCGCGGAATCTGCTTGTCATCGCATCTCTCAATTTCGACCCCGTGTCACCGCACCGCAGCATGCCAGATTGATGCGGTTGCATTTTGCTCCGTAATCCGTTAAGTCTGCCCAAATCTCCCGAAATCCCATCAAGCCACTCAGGAAATTATTAATTCGCTCAAGAACTATTATAAGTTATTTAAAATGATAAAATTAGTTAATATAATGGAATAATTTTGAAGGACATTTTACCAACTTTCAAGTTATGATATGAACAAAAAAAATACAAAGAGCAAACCTGAAATTTAAATATTTAAATTTCTAAGTAATCTGCAAAGCATTTTAGTCTGTTTTTTGATAATTTTTAAAGCTCCTTTTTTAAATAAGTCAATTTCAAGGAATTTTACGTGGTTTTATTGAAACTGTGCGTGAAAAACTTGACTTTGTAGAATGGAATACAAACTAATATTTTTACATTTAATTGAGAAATTAATTTTTAAAATGGCTCGCACACTATCAACTATTTATCCGAGACGTCAATTTCAGTTGGTTCCAGAATATAAAACTAGAGCTCAAAATATTTTAAATAAAATAATTACATCAACTTAAAGGCTTCATTATTCAAATCAAATTTATTTGATTTAATAACTTTTGTTTTACCGAAATTACGTTTTTTTTTATTCTTATCTCTTATTTATGATTTTGAATGCCAAAATTATCAATTGATATTAAGAATTTATTCCTCCCAAACATGCTTTAGTTTTATTATTTCTTTTATACTTGTCGACTTTTCCAGACCTTTTCTCTATTTCTTGAAAGAAAGAAGTGCCGTGTGCTCCATTTTATTGGTGTACCGACTCTCGTTGTGCACTTACTCGTTTTCTTTCTTTCTCTCTCTGCTGTTTTTTAATCGCGATAGTTGGCCAACAACAACAATAATGCCGGCGGCTTTTCCAGCGCACGGGGGTGATTTATGTTGATTGTTGTCCGAGAGTGTCTCATCTTGCCACTGCTTTTTGCACTGCCACTTTTATTGCGGCACCGGCCAGGATTCAAGAGAGACAATCCCAGGCAGGGCTTTTATGAAGTCATTACGTGTAAGTGGTCAGCGCACATAAATGACACGAGAGCACCGTCGTACGAACGGGGGCCTAATGCACTCGGCGCAATTAGGCCGCTCCACCGAGAATAACACAAAATAAAATAAAGCCTTTCGCTCTGCGATGACGCCTGCTCTCAGCTTGATTAGCAACGGAAAAGTGCCGGGAAAAGCCCAAATTTTCAAGAAAATATAACACTTTAAAAGATAAAGATTCTTGGAAATAGTGAGAGGGTTGTAAAAAATTTTGATGGACCAAAATAATTCCAAGTAATGCGTTAAAAAAGCGTGGGTTTTGTAATTGAATTGTTCTGTATTTTCTTCTTAACAAGATGAAAAGATTTTGTTAATATTTATTTAATAAATTTCTTTTCTTTTTCTCGATAATTTTTTTATTTCAGAAATTTAAATTTTCTTCAATAACTACCATTTTTCTTTAAAAAAGACTTGAATACAAAATCAGGATGAAAAATGGTCTCATTTCAAAGCGAGCCTTTGGTAAACAAGCGAATATTACGCCTGTCGAATCGCAGAGGGAAAGGAGCAGTGAAATCGCCGAGCTGAACGAAGCCGCCGCCGCCGCGCGCGAGATATCTCTTTCTGGATCAATACGAGAACCGCACGTAGCAGATAAGTTTCCGGTTATTTTTCTGTTACCTCAAAGGCATCACTGGCTGCGCGCTCTCGTAAGCTTGGATACGCTCCACAGCCAGCGCAACCATCCACACACAAGCCTTATGGCTCTCGCCCTCCCGCGGCTCCGCAAGAATCTTTTCGCCGAAAGAAATCGTCGCACGAATCCCACCAAACCAATCGACCGGCAAATTTGTCGCAAAAAGGAATCAAATTGCAATACAGATATTGAACATTTTGTAATAATACAAAAATAATTATAATCAAATTGAGAATATTAAAAATTGTGTTTTTTTTTTAAGGAAATAAATTATACTTGATTGATTTGGAAGTTTTAAGCTAAGAATTTCACCTTCTTTTAATTACAAGAAATTGTTCATTGGGTTCAAATTGAAGCCAAATATATCCAAATTAATGTTAAAAAAACAAATTTAAAATATAAATTCACTCAACTGAACTGAAATTTGCAAGTTTAGAGTTTCAGGAGTAAAAAAATTTAAATTTCAGAAATTTATAGTTTGCAAAACTTACTTTTTGCTTTCAAGTTTGGTTTGATAGAAAAAATTGGCAGTGGTTTGGGATTTGTCGGGCGGCAAAAAAGCGACTCGGCAGTCAATATTGGCTTTTGTGGTCAGATTTAGTGAATGCGGTAGCAACATGTACACGCCCGGCGGCTATTTCGGAGGCGTTGCCCAAAAAAAGTGCCGGCGCACGCTGGAAAAGTAGCAACATCAAATATTGAACTTGCCGAAGAGGAGCCCCGAGTATCCATTTCGCGGAAAGCATCCCTGCTCTCGAGCCAGCTCTGCCTGCGAGCAATAATTATTCTCTTCCAACTTTTCTTTTATTTCCCTGCACGCTCGCTCGTCGTTTTTGCCATTGTGAAAGAAAGAAAGTTTGTTTTGGCGCGGCGAGAGAAGAGGTACCTAAGTTTCCTTGATAAAGTGGAGTCAAAAGTTGCGCAAAACTTTATCCCAGCAGAGAGCGGAGGAGGAGAAAAGAAAATCAGGAGGCGTGACGTGGAGAGCACAATAAAGTTTTGTCTCTGCAGCTATCTCTGTCTTTTTCGGAACCATAAGACTTTTTCTCTCGAACTGCGCGCGATTTTAAATAAAATGCTGAAATAACGCGCGATTCAATTTCGGCCTTTGGGGAATTCCACGCGACCGGGGTATGCATTACAGAGCTAGGGACCATCTGCTCTTTGATATTTGCCCGTCGGCCTCTGGGGAGAGCCGCGCCGAGCATTGAAATCTGTACCGCCATCGTCTCCCTCCCTCCTTGTTTTATTATTGTCGCCAAATTAAAAGCGGCCCCCGCGGGGCCAGTCCATCAGCGGCCGATTAATTATGATATCAAAAGCGCAATCACGCCGAGTGCATTTTTATTGCTCGATTATGTATAAAAGGGGTCGACCTGCCTCCTCGGCCCTCGCGCACGACCTCCCGCGGGAATGCTTCTTCCCAACAAATGGACTATAAAATCTCGCTCTCGATCCTTTGGGAAGCTGCAGCGATGATTGTTTTTCTTTGTTCGGACTCACCGGTTGATGGAGCTGACGCTGGGCACGTTGTCTTGCGAGCAGATTCCCTCGGCGAGGAGCCGGTCGCGGATCTCCCACGCGAACATGGTCGGGTTCTCGCGCTTGTAGTTGGCGATCGCGTCCACCACCGGTGGCGTCGCCACTTTCGGTTTGCTGCCGCCGATCACACCTGCTTTGAAGCTCCCCGTCTCGTAGTATCTGCAATTAGAGACAATTTTTATCAAAAGCGAAAAGGTTTTGAAAATCTGAGGAAAAAAATTTCAGCTTGTTTGGTTAATTTGAAAATTTTGAAGCTGGTCAATCTTCAATAAATAAATAAAATATCCAAATAATGCATTGAAAACTTTTGTTGAAGAACAATCTAGGCAAGGAGACATAGTTTTAACAATTTTGTTGTAATTTAACTAATTTTTTTTTTTTTTTTAATAAAAATTTATGTTCGAGAATCACTTCTGGACTCCGTTATGACATAGTCCAAATGTTTTCCAATAAATGCCAAAAAATGGCTCCTATTGTTGAAAGAAGATCAATTTATCAATGAGAATTCTTTAAAACCGTCAATTTTTCATGGATTTGAATAAATTGCAAACAATTTTAAACTAAAATGATCTGTTACCAGATTTTAAATTATTTTTTCATTCTGAAATATAAAAAATTGTAACCATGGTAATGCGTTGAAATTTGCAAATATTAAATTAAATTATATTTAAAATAGTAAATAAATTTAATGCAATTTATCCAACCTCAATGCAAATATTTTAAACCAACTAAATGCTGGATTTTGAAGAGATGTTTTTAATTGAATGAAATCTAATTAAATATTGTTCTAATCCTTTTAGGGGACATTTTGCTCACTTTTAAAGCTAATTTTCTGTGTAAATGGTAGGAATTTCAATTATTACTTCTGTTAATTTTGATATTTTATTCCCACAAATGATTTTTCTTTAATAAATCAAATAAAATTTTCTTACTAATGAATGAAACTGATCTGATTTTGAGCTTGTTTAGAGAATTTCGACTAAATCCGCCGCCATCGCGAAGTCATCAAATGAAGCTTTCGAGTGCGCCGAAAATAGTCGGAGGAGCGCGATTGCCAAAAGTCGGAGCCCATTTCCTCAAAGTGAAGCCACGGCCGCATTTCATGGCAGCAAATGCAATTTGTCAACTTATGAGCGAGCGAGCGAGCGAAAGCTTCAAAGCCGCTCAGCAGAGTCATCAATGTTTCAGCGTCGCATTTGAGCGCAAATGGGCTCCTGCGCGCGCGAGACACTGTAATATGTACCACGGTATGTATGTCTAATGTATGGCGAAATATAATGACAAAGTGCTGCATTCACTCCTGCGGCGGCTTTTTAGACGCGCGGCACAAACACAAAACTTTTGCTGAAACCGCCGCCGCCGCCGCCGCCGCCGCCGCCGTCGCCGCCGCCGCCGCCGCACAGCCGCAGCAATAATTCCAAAATGTTTCATCTGCATATTATGAAAGCTTCAAACGTGAGTGCTGAAAATGCACATGAATTTTATATAAATACATGAAATGTGTATATCCGCCGACGGAGCGCTGTTTTTCGCTCTCTTTGTGTGTGTGAGTTTGGCGCACACACACGCTAAATTATTTATGAGAATCTCTCTTTCGCAATTTGGCGAGTACATGAATATTTCAGCGTTCGCGGCCACTTTATTATTTTAGAGTGCGGCTTCCATGTTGACATGGAAATTGACGAGAATTATTTGCCGAAACTACAAAGAAAACTTCCAAAACATTTTTGCAAAATTCCTCTAGTTTTAATGTTTTTCTTGATTTCTCAAAATAGTAAATTTAGAAAAATAATCAAATAAATAACAAAATACAGATTAAAAAATTCCTATTAAACGAGAAAAAGCATTGAAAACACAGTAACTTTGATGATAAAAAAAAAACAAGATCATATTTAAATATTTTAACTCTGGGTTTCTTGTGGAATCAATAAAAATTTGGTAAATACTAAAATATTCTAATAATGGTCATTAACTTGTTATTATTTAAAAAATGAATGATTTTTAATTTTTTCTGCTATTTTCCTATATTATATGTTCTTTAAATTAAGACCTATATTGTTGGTGAAAGTTGAGCTTTTAGAATTCCTTATTAAAGAAAAAACTATACTTAATAGCTGAAAAAAGAAACTTTTCTAGGTAATGTATTAAAAAAAAATAACTAAAAATCACCTAGATTATTTAATCTATTTTTGAAAAATAACCTATTTTTCTGAGCGTCCTTTTCTATTTATACAATTTTTTGTTTTTCACTTGTTGGAAACTGCGCCTGCAACAATCGCTGCAAATGAATTACGAGCCCCATCAGCATCCCTTTGTTCGAGTTTGTTTTTATGAAAAAATAAAAATGCACAGCAACTCTTGCCGCGTTGGAAAAAGTTGTTTTTGCTCTCGGCGCGCTGCTGATGTTTTAAAATTACATTTTTGTCAGCGCACATTATTATTATTTAAAACAATCTCTCTTTGTTGGCGTCTCCTCTGCTCTCTGCTCGTATAATTTTCACATATTAGAAGCATTGTTCGCGGCGCACATGTGTATGTGTGATATGTGAAAAATGAAAATTGCACGCGCCCTGCAGAGAGTTTCATGTATAAATAAATGCGCGGCCGTTTGTATATTCGCAAAGAGTACTTCTTTGTTGCAGCATTGTTGTGTGGATTTCACGAGGAATTATGCATGTCTCTCATTTGAATATCAAACGCGGCGGCCGCTGTGGAAAAAAATACTTTATTTCCTTCCTCTGCAGGTTGGCGAGAGAAAAGTTTCGGACTTTTCGCGCCGCTTTGATGCCCGGTCGACTTTGAAATGAAAAAAAAATAGACGGAATTATTGTCTCGGAAGCAGGTTGACTTTTGTTGTCTGTATTCGGTGTCGAGATTTCGGATTCAGATTTCACACTTTTGTGTCCGTGGCAGAGAAACCCAAGCTCTTTCATTTGAGAGAGAGAGAAGGTGAGACAATTGCGATGGTTGTGCGGAAGGTCGTCGTGAAAGTCACTTTTTATAGGTGCGGTACTCACAGAGAGAACGACCTGTTTTTTCTTTCAAATTATTGTTTTACTTGCAAGAAAATTCAGAATTATAACAAAAAAGGTTAGTTTTTTAATTTAAATTTTATATTTATTTGTTTTCCAGTAATAAAAACTTCTCTTGATTTTCAAATTTTAATACAAATTGAAACCAAATTGATAATATTTTTCTTTTTAATAAATGTAGTTTAATTTTAGAATTTCAGTCAGTTTCATCTCCTGACCTTTCACAACAAAACAATTACACAATAATAATAATTTATGTCTGAAAGTTTGCTGTGTTTGTGTGAATCACGCGTGTCAATAATTGGTGCACTCGAGATAAGAAGCAGCGCTTGACACTCTGCGCTATTAAAACAGAGGGTCCTCTTTTGTGGATTCACTTTGAGCGTTATTTTTTTTTTGTCATCCCCGCAGCTCAGCTCTTTCTCTCTCTATATCTATTACATTATTATTATTATTTGCTGGGGAGCATCGTCGGCGAGGGGACGGCGCGCGAAGGGGCGAGCGAGTTGCTGGTTGCATATAAATAAAAGTAGCGAGAGATGCCGCCGTAATAATGGATGAATGGTCTGCGCTCAGCCTAGAGAGGGATGCAAAAAGAGAGTCGATGTGCTTTTGACTCACTGCTGGTGGATTTCCGCAGCTCCTTCCTGTTTCCGGACGCGGCTCGGAATCCTGCTGCCTTTGTACCGCGGAAAGAGAGAGAAAGAAGAGAGAAGTCAGTCGGCTCGCTGCCCCTCGACTTTCCAAACACGTCGAATCGTCGGCCAAATTTAATAATGCGACCATTCGTTCCAGTAAAGATATGGAATAATTTTGTGTACAATCATGCGATTACTGAAAGCACTATTTTTTGTTGCATCGACAGAATTTGAAAATATATGAATAAATTTTCTGGTTGTTTGTTCCGTAATAATGAAATCGGGAGAAATTTGGTTTCTATTTTTTGTTAAAATGAACTTATTAAATTCATTTTAACATCAATGCTGATTCAAAATAGATTTTCTTAGCAAAAGTTTATAATTTTTTATTTCGTAATTTCAATTTTAACTATTTGCTACTGTTTGAATATATTTACAAGTGAATATTTCACTTCAAGAATTCAGGTATTTTTAAATAAAATAAAATTGACCTTTGCCTTGAAATCGGTGACGTCATTAATTTTTAAACCAAATTAAATTAAATCAATATATAGTAATTAATATAAATAAACTGATATTATGCGCAGAAACGTCTTTTGACAAAAAAAACTCTAATTTTTTGCAAATTATGACATTAGCAAATCTTAATTAACTCTGAAGTAAATTGGTTTCTTACAAGAAAATTTAACTTTTCTTTCAAATTCATCTATTTTTTTAAAACTTAATTTAAAGGGCGTTTTATAAGAATTTCGTGTCGCATTTTCCCACAGACAATCTAATACTGAGAGTTGTCGTGTCTGAAAATAGCCCAATAAAGGCCTCTTTGTTGGCTCGCGAAGCCAGCAGGCGCCTCTATATATCAGTTTCTATTTTAATTGTTCGCGGTGCCGCTCGAATCGAAAGGTTAGCTGCGAGTAAGATGCACGCTGGAGAGGATAAAATGTAATACTCCCAGCGAGCCTCTCTTTCTCTCTCTCTCTCTCTCGCACAATGAACGAGCTAGAGAGAGATTTTAATATGAACATGCAAAGGGCAGCGTTTGACATTCAAGTCTCTCGGGATTGCAAAGAACCAAAGCCGGCGAATTTTTCTTCTTTTTTGTTGAGTAAGACATCGGCGGAAGTGCGAGAGAGCTCGCCTAATCGCCACTTCCGGCCGCAAATCATAATCTATTAGCCATTACGATGAGTCTCTCTCTCTCTCGCGTAATGGAATTGCCGCAGCCGCCGAAGCAGCCACGTGGCCGCCCATAACAATAATGAACCCATCATCCATCATAAAGTTGAGACGAAAATCCTCCCCCTTGTGCGTGGGAGACACGCGACTCGCAAATGCCGCCGATTTATTATTATTTTGACCTCTTTCCGTGTAAAAAATTTATATATTTATTCCAAAGCGACGTATCGTGTAATTTCGTCATCAGTCGGGGAAAAAAATCCGGCCGCAGTAATTTGATTTATGGCTTTTTAAAAGCCGGCCGGACGCTGTCGGTGACCCTCTCGCCGCGGAAAAATAAGCGAAAAATAAAGCAGCTTTTAGAGGGTTCATTATGCACGTGACGGGGACAAAACAATCAAGCTCTTTTGTTTGCATATTGAAAATACCAAAAGGTACATCACTTTAATAAAACCATATAAAAAAGTTGTTTGTTTCTATTAAGGGTAAAATTTTAATTTTTATCTCCCACTGAAATCAATTTAGTATGATTGGATGAAGCAAAAAACTAAATTTTTAAAATGACAATTTAGGCCACATAAATTTACTATAATTCATGCAGAAATCATTAAACTGAATTATTAAATTGTATTGCTTTAAGAAAATATATTTATTAAAATAAAATGCAGTTATGGAGCAATCTTTAAAGTCAACTTCAAGCATAATGTTTAGCTTTCGTTTCGTAACAGGGGTTGGAATTAAATAAAGATTTCCTACCTCGATAGTATTTTCGAGACACATCCGTGGGAGACTCTGAGCTGCCGTGATATGTCGCAGGGACGGACTCCATTGTGCGCCAGTTCGACGATTCTCTGCCGGACCACGTCCGGCAGAGGTCTGCCGTTGACAAACACCCCGCCCAGCTGGTTTACACCGCCGTGGCCTGAAACAATTCAAAGTGCAAATTTAATTAAAATGAAATTAGAAATTAACCAGATAGATTTAAATTTCAAAAGACTGACAAATTTCAAGAAAATCTAGAAACCTGGCATAAAAATTATTTAAATTGACGCATTAGGCTGAAAGATTTATAAATAAGATTAAGATATTTTAAAATTTCATCAATCACTCAAAGGAAATACCGGAAATACAAAATTTTAAGCGTGTTTGAAAAAAACACTAATTGATGTTCTTTTGTAATGAAAAACATTTTGAACGGTGACTGAGCCCTCATTTTATATAAACTTTATCATTTAATTTATTTTCAAAATTTTGGTTTAAAGATATTTAAGTAATTTTCGGCTTGAAAGACATGACATTATTTTGGCATGAATAAGTGTAAAGTTGCGGCTCATTAGCGGGCGTTCTAATTACGCGCGAGGCCTCGCCCGAGTCACACGTGGCTTGAATTTCAATGTGCAATTCTCAAGCGGCGCCTTGAGTTTGCTGCTTTTACCTTCCTCAAACTCTCCGCGCACGCACAACACACACCTCGTCGTCTCATCCGAAATAATTAAAGCACAAAGGCCTTGGCCTGCGGAGAGAATTGAATCGCTATGACTTGAGGCGCTTCCGCCGCCGCCAAATCTCGGCACACTCGAGTAATTTGTTAAGATTTCATTCAATTAGGCCGGCGCCCTTTCTCTTTGCAATTGCATCACGCGAATATTGTTTTGACTTTGTGCGGCCCTGCCGGCAAAATTGAGTTTTCATACTAAAGGAAATTACGAAGCGAGCGCCGTGGCCCTGGAAATATTCAATTATTCCGAGCTTCTACACAGCATAATTTCATAATTGAGAGTTGAATAACTTTCTGAAATTAAAAAACAGTTATAGATGAATTGTTCTAATTTCGTAAAATTTTATAATTAATAAGTAAAACATTGAGGAACCTTTTTTTAAAATTAATCATTTTAAAGTGCATAATTTTAATAAAATTGACGCAGAAAATATAAGAAATACAATAAAAAATCTAATAAATTTAATTATACTTCTTTCAAAAGCGATTTTTATCGATATGTTGTGAATTTTTCCTATGATGTTTCACGATTTCGAGAGCGCCTGAAATTTTGTGCTTTGGGCAGCACGCTCGACCTCAAAGGCGAGCGGTTTGCCTAACCCGGCAGGAAAGCTTGTTTGATTATACATGTTGTTTGGGAAAACTTCTCTTGTATAATTGATTGAATAAAGTGGCTGTTCGAGGGTCATTAGAAGTGTTAGACGGCCAAAGTAGAACATCATGCGGCGAGTCCCGCGGGACTTTGATGCTCTTTTGATATAATCAGAGGCCATATGTGTGCCTGGTGCGAGTTGTCACCAGGGGGGCCTCTTAATTCGGCACGACTGCTCCGACGCGATACTCGATTGTTTCATCTGCAATTAACCGTAATGCAATGACAACAAGTAGGAGCGGCCGGCCGGGGGTGGCACCCCCGAGGGGTGAGTCTTGTCGGCCGCTCGCTCGGGGATTTCAATCGAAGCTCTGCTGCTTTTCGTTATTATTGCCGACGGATTATGAATGTGAGAAGAGTTGAGTGGTCTGTTTAAGAGTTTGTGTTTGCGTGCGATCAGAGGAGCTTTTGTGGTTACTGATTTCATTGCAGGGTGAATTGGTTAATTAAATAGGTAATCAAAGTGATAAAAAAACTCTTATTTGGTAACAAAATTCAACAGTGGCTGAAATATTTAAAGAAAAACTTGATTTGTTTAAAAAAGAAAACGTTTCAGACGAAGAAAAGAAAAGATTTTCCTGCATTTTAAAGATTTTGTTGTCGTTTTGGAAAGTTTTATTTCTAGAAATTTAAGACCATTTTCTGGTTTCAAGTAAGAATGGAAACTTTTAAAAGCTGTTAGAAATAAAAATTAAATTCTATAATCAAGCCCAGAAATTACCTTCTTTAAAGTAAAAAATTGTGCTCTAGAATCTCTCCAAATCACCTTTTTGATTAACTGACAAGGTTTTATTTTAACTTCAAAAACCACTCTCAAGATTTTTTTAATATTTACCACATAAAAATGCACCTAAAAACAGTAAAAAATAATTAATTTATCAACTATTTGAGTAAATGACAAACATGTTTTCACCTAGCTTAACCTCTTTTGGAAGTTTTTAACCTTGAAATTTCAATTTGCATAAAAATGTGTTATTAAAAAAAAATATAAATATACAAAAAATAGCCTGCCACAAAAAAAAAATTTAACACATAATTATTTCAAAATGTAAGACGATTTTGATCAACGTCATTTTAAAAAAGTATAAGAATTATAATTAATAACTGTCTTTCAAATCGCTGAAATTTCATAGTAGCAACTGTAAATTTAAACAAAAAAGAAGAAGAAAAGACAAAAATACTATAAAATTTGCCAATTTTACCTCGCATAAATCCACTTTAAAATGCAAATGAAGTTTGGAAACATTTTTTATCGCAACTTTTCGCCCTTTTCAATAAATTACGCGAAGGACCTGGTGTGTCGGAAGGATCTTGAGAGAGTGGAAGAGCCGACTTATCAGGGAGATTTAAGCCGCTTGGATAGGCGCCGGGCAATCTTTTTCGGACAATAAAACACGCCGAGTGAGAGAGAGAGGAGTGGAGCGAGATCGATATTGCGCCGGGTGGAGAGAGCATTTTTCTTACTCTCCGGTTGTAAGGAAGTGCCAGTGTAACAAAATCTTTCTCGCCCAATCACTCGGCGGCGCGGTCGAGGGCGCAGCCTCCCTACAATAACTGTTTTGTTCCAGCAGCACTCAAAACGTACGCGGCGCATCCCCCAGAGAAAGGACTTGCGGGGCCGAATTGCAAAATCTGTCAAACGGGATTTATTTTATATTCGAGTGCTTTTTCACTGCTGGTGGCGATTTGCTGCCGCGCTTTAATCGAATTCGGGTTGTACATCGCGGCACCGACAGAGATAGAGAGGAATTGAGAGACAAATACAAAAGCAAATCGCGTTATTCGTCTGCCCAACCGAGATTGGATTTCAATCGTGAATGGATTTTGGCAGCACAACTCGAATTGGATTACGGATTTTGGCCAATTTGCAGAGGATTTAACTGAGCAAAGGGGAAATTTGCCCATCTTGATGGATTTGACCGGTTTTATTACACAAATTATATTAAAAGTGTAAAGTGTGTGAATTTTTTCCCAAAAGATCATAATGTAATTTTAATTTTCAAAAAAAAAAAAAAAGACTATTATATTTAGGGAACTTAAATCGGTGATGAAATATTGTTAAAATTCTCATTGATTAAGCTAGGCAGATTTCTAGCTAAAAATTTAAAAGCAATGTTAATTTTTCAAAACTCATTTTTGAAGTTCAATGAAGTTGATGGAATCAACCTATAAAAACGACAATAAAATTAATATCTAAATAAATAAATAATTTCAATTTTTAGTTGATGATGCTTGCACCTGTCAAATCAATTCGTTACAACAATGCTGGTTAAAATTCTCAATTGTTTTCTATTAACTGCATCTATTGTTGTATTTAAGACTTGATTATGCCAATAATAAGTTCATAATCGAAAAAAATATTATGTTTCAGCGCAATTTCTGACTGATTTTGATTATTATCATCAAATTAAAAATTTGATTCACAAACTCTTATTAAATTTTTAGGGCTTCTTTCCAGCAGGTTTCCAGCAGTTAATGATGATTATTAAATTTTTTACTGAAATGAATGTCATTTCTGATTTCTGTGGGAACAAATTTATTATATTCCAATTTAAAAAATACTCGGAGAATCTATTTTTTGTTAATTAAACATATCATTTCCTTGAATAAAATTATCAGAAGTAACTTCCCAATTTGAGAACTTTCTTTTAATTTTATATAAAAGAATTTAAAAATTTACAAATTTAAACATTTTTTCTTTCCCAATCAAACTATATTTTGAAACAGATTTGGCTCTCGCACTGCAATAGATATTTGATGACTTTTTGATGCAGTTTCTCTCTCTTCATCTAAGCGTATTCACACATGAAATCATAACAAAGCACATTTGTGAGCATCTGCGTGTTGTGTGAATTACAGCGAAAATAGGCAACTCAGCGTGCTTTGTGCGCCGCGCACTCGGCTTCTTCTTTTTGTCTGCAGAGGCAGGGGTGCCGCGGCAGGCGCTGATGGAATAATTCCATTCTCGCGCGCGCGACACACAAAGTTGGGGTCGCTTTTATCGCGTTTCTTCTGCTGGCTTGCATCTTTCTGCTATTATGATAATTGTGTTAAAGCGGCCGAGCACTAAAAAAGAAAATATAATAATGCAATAATAAACTGCACAGAGCGCATATGCCTGCAGCACAACAGCGCCTCCCCTAATTTACGGCTCCATTATTTTTGTGCCGCCGCCACCGCGTCGCAGTTTGCAATTCGCACTCTCGGGCCACAGATTTCACGCTGCTTTCGCCTCTACTTTGATAAATAATTATTAAGAAAAGCCAAGGAATAAAAATTGTGTACTTGTTGTTGTTTCATATTTTGAATTCAAATTCTTATCTATATAATTTGATTGAATTTATATTTCATAATTATTGACTCAATTTCTTTTTCTCAATACTTGCAAGAATGTTCAAAAATGTAAAGTAGGAAATTTAATTTTCATTAAATAAATATCCTGGACAGTTCAATAAGTTGGAAAAAGTTCAATTTAAAAAAGAGACTTTCTGGGATATTTTCATTTTTAATTTATAATTTTTAAAACTACATAATAATTTAGGATATCATTTTGTATTTGAAAGTATAAAAATTTTCACTTCTCGTCCCTTTCATATCAAAAAGTGAACTTTGGTCACTTTCGGGTGCGCCATACAATATAAACGAACAAAATTTTGAATCGAGTTGAAACTGAGCTGGGCCGTGTTTTATATACAAAAGTGGTGCCGCTGCTGTGGTCATTGTTGCCGCAAACAATAAGAGCAGCAGCAGCTTTTTGCCAGCAGAGCCAGGT